CGGCGCTCGGAAAAGCGCGGCGAGCGTGTGGACAGCCCGGGCATGGGAGTTGCCAGGGGCTGGTTGAGGTGGTTGGGGTAGCCCCGGCACCGCGCAGCTCGCCGCCAAGCTCGCCGCCAAGCTCGCCGCAGCCCCAGCAAAACGACGCGCCTGGACACCGCGGCCCGCGACATGGCAGCCCCGGGCCGGGACCGGCGCAGGGTCGTGTCAGAATATAGTTAGCTGTATCATGTTCGGCCATGTTGTCGGGGGGCGGTGAAGCCCCTCGAGGGGCTGCCTGCCTGCCTGCCTGCCTGCCTGCCTGCCTGCCTGCCTGCCTGCGCCCAACCCCAAAGTACGGTCCTGACCGCGGCAGAGCGCGGCGCCCTGGCCAGCAGCATCGCTGCGCCGTAGACGGCCGAAAAACCGCAAAAACCTCATCACACACACACACGCACACGCGAACCTGCCTTATTTATGAATCACGCCGGCCGTCTTGCAGCGCGCAATCAAAATGGACAGAAAGCTACACGGGTCGCGGCGGCGGGCCGGCGCGCCGGCGGGGTGAGTGGAAGCTATGGCCGGTGATCCCGTGTTCGGCTAGGTTCGCTTCCCTTATACACTCCACGGGTTCAAGGCCCGGTAAATAATATGTTCTCGGCGGCCCGTGGCGCGCCGTGGCGTATGAAACAACCCCTCCCCCCCCCCTCTCCTCTGTCCCCCGGACTGGCCCGCCTATGCCTCTTTGTTTCCGGGTGAAGGCTATATAGGGCTGGGAGGCCCAGATCCCACGGGAGCCCCGTGGCCCTAGCCTCCTACCACTAAATTACGGGCCCCGGCGCCACCAGCCCGCCAGCCCGCCAAGGTGGTGGTGGTGCAGCACAGCGGCCCACGGCCTGCCACGGCCCACGGCATGAAGGCAGGCCCCGTCCAAGCCATTCGGGCCTTCGGGCCAGCAGCGCCAGCACGTCCTTGCAGGGACCTCGCAGGGACCTTGCCGGCAGGGACTCATTCGCAGGGCGCGTTAAAAAGAAATCAAAACGGAGAGGACTCTCACCGCGAGCCTGATGGAGGCGGCCTTCCATTTTACGGTCTTTGCCGGTCTTTCGGACGAACAAAAGGGACGACACGTCTCTCCGTCTCTCTCTTTTATTGGTTTCCCTCCCTTATCTCGGCCGTGGCTCGGCCACGGCTTGGCCACCTCGCCATCGGCACCCACCTCACGCGTGTTACAGTGCCCACATGCGCGGCCTCCAGGACCTCAAAGGACCCGGCCCGCGGGACCCTAACGGAGCCAGCCCCAGCATCTTTGCATAATCCTCCAACTCTCACGGGACCTTCGGGGACCAGCAAGGCACGCGGCACGAGTGCGCACTCTCGGGACCGCACCGGGCCCTCACAGGACCGCACAGGACCCTCACAGGACCGCACAGAACCCTCACAGGACCGCACAGAACCCTCACAGGACCGCACAGAACCCTCACAGGACCGCACAGGACCCTCACAGGACCGCACAGAACCCTCACAGGACCGCACGAACCCTCACAGGACCGCACAGGACCCTCACAGGACCGCACAGGACCCTCACAGGACGCACAGAACCCTCACAGGACCGCACAGGACCCTCACAGGACCGCACAGAACCCTCACAGGACCGCACAGGACCCTCACAGGACCGCACAGAACCCTCACAGGACCGCACAGGACCCTCACAGGACCGCACAGGACCCTCACAGGACCGCACAGAACCCTCACAGGACCGCACAGGACCCTCACAGGACCGCACAGAACCCTCACAGGACCGCACAGGACCCTCACAGGACCGCACAGAACCCTCACAGGACCGCACAGGACCCTCACAGGACCGCACAGGACCCTCACAGGACCGCACAGAACCCTCACAGGACCGCACAGGACCCTCACAGGACCGCACAGGACAGCCCGCGAAGGTGTGGGGGCGCACTCAAGCCTCACAACGTCCTCTCCGCTCAAGGACCTCCACGAGAGCCTCCACGAGAGCCTCCGCGGCACACAGGCCTGCACGGCCCGCCACAGCCCCTCCGGCCTCCGGGCGCCACTCGGGCTGCATGCCGAGGGCGATATCTCTCGATATCTCGAAGGCTTATGACGCCTCGAGTGGCCGTTTGACGGCGTAGGAGTGGTGTGGGACACACTGTGGGACCGGGCCGCCTTGTATCGCCTGTATCGCCCCTTGGCGCCCCTCGGCCTCGGCGCCCCGGGCCGCCCTCACACTTTCAGGGGGCTAACGCGCGAGCGGCGCGAGCGGCGCAAGCGGGCCCTGACAGCCTTTAAGTCTTCGTAAGCCCTTAATCCCGTTAACCCGTGCCTTCAGACTCTTTCGCTCGGAAGCGGAGAGAAACCCGCTTTGACCCGCTGGGGCGTTCAATATGAGAAGTATAGGCGCCACCCCCTTCCACCCCTTCCCAAACACGCACACACACACACACACATATATGCAGAGACACACACACTCACACCTCCGCCGCTTTCTTCAAATCCGAGAGTCGCGGTGGAGGAGGCGCCTGTTGTGTCATTTGCACAGCATGAAAAAGAGACGAGGCTCCTCCGAATACGCAAGCTAGCGCTGGCTGGCGTGGCGCCTCGCATCACTCCTTGTCGCCCTGCTCCGCCTGCTCGCAGTCCGAGCCCCGGGCCATCCGACCATCGACCATCCGACCATCCCCGTCGCTCGATCCAGGCCGGGTCGGACTGACGGCCTCGGCCGGCCTCGACCCCGGCGGCGTCAGGCCAGATTAGAGCGCCGTAAACAGGCCCCACCCCGCCCCGCCCCGCCGTGTATTTAAATAAAAAGCGACGTAAATCGAGGACGGCAGGGTAACCGTTCCGGTGCGAAGTGGCCGGGCAAGTGGCCGGGCAAGTGGCCGGCAAGACGATGGCCGATGGGCCACTCGAAATAAAGCCTCGCCGCTTTCGCGCCTCGCGCCGGACGGAGAGGGGAGAGGAGCGAAGGGTAGACCGGCCAGACCGTGGCGCCGCGAGTTTCGCGAGTCTTCGAGCCAGCCGGTCCCAACCGGTGCCAGCGCAGCTAGCGCAGCCCGCGTTGTGGCCGAACCGCGTGCGCGGGCAGCGTAAACGCGAGCCGAGCCAGCCGAGCCAGCTGAGGGGGGAGGGAGCCGAGCCAGGGCGACGATAAGTGTGTGAAGCCGCCACCCAGGGCCCAACAGCCACACCCCCAGCTCGGCCTGTGTCCACCGCAAGGTCTACTTTAATTAAGACACATTTTTGCCACTTTTTACTTAACCAAAGCATGCTTTTCTTTCAGCTTTACATAGTTCCTCCAATATACCGTTTTTATAATTGTATTTTATTTTGATTTTTTGTTTTTTGCCCTGCTCACATGGCGGCATATTCCTAGGAGGTGGAATGACGCAATGGAAGCCTTTTTTAAAACGTATTTCTTTACATTGGCACACGTTGACTATGGTGGACCCACACAGCCACGCCTTGATCCAATAACATTAAACCCCCGCCGCAGTGAACGCGTTAAAAAGGGCCTCGGCGTCGCCGGGGCCGTGCACCGGGCCGTGCGGAGCGTCCCGGCAGAGCCGGATGGCCCGGACAAGGAGAAGGAAGCCATCCACTTCCACGGAAAGCCCAAGCAGCCTTTCCTTGTCCTACCGGCTCTGCCGGCCCTGCCGGCCAGACCGGGCAGCGCACCGGCACAGCGCGGTGGGCGAAGGGCAGATTTACGGAGGCCAGCCACGACACCGCAGGGCTAACGTAGGGCTAACGCAGGGCCGGGGCCGCGGCCGCGGGGCCCTACGCAAAGCCCTGCGCCACTACGCGTAGCTACGCCGTGGAGGGGAGGCCTTCGCCGTGCCGCCGTGCCGCCGCGCCTCCGCGGGAGGGGGCCGGTCAGCCCCGCCAGCCCCGCCAGCCCCGCCAGCCCCGCCAGCCCCGGCCGAGGGAATGCCAACTTTGCCAGTGCAGCTCACCTGTTAATGTCCGCGCCGTCGCTTCCTCGACGCCGTCCTCGATGTCACCTCGCAGGGCTGCCACCCGCAGGGTTGCCACTCGCCGGCACTACACCACTACCACCAACACGACCGCGAACAACAACAACAACAGTAGCGTCAAACGACAACAACACACGCGCACGCGCGGTACCTCGGCACGGCACGCGGCAGGCCGGGCATGCCCTGGCGTGTTGCCCCTGGTGCCCTCGGTGCCCTTGTGCCCTGCGGTGCCCCAGCGGTGCCCTCGCGCGTCGTGTCCTGCTCCGTGGCGGGTCTCGGCGCGACTGGTGCGGTGCGGCGTGCTGCGAGTGCCAGCCGCCCCCGCCCCGCCTCGCCCCACCCCCGCGGCCCCCCTGGCCCCGGCAGCCCCGGCAGCCCCGGCCCCGCCGCAGCAACGCGCAGCAACGCGCAGCAACGCGCAGCGACGCCGTTAGGCTGTTAGGCCCTCGGCCACCGTGCCAGCCCAGCCGCGTGCCAGCGCGCCAATGCCTGCACCAAGCCCGCCGAACCCACCAGGGTTGCTAACGGTTCACCCCACACCCCTGCTGAACGGCATGGTCGCGACCGCTAAGACGTCGGTCGCCGCCATTTGAATCCCGGGTTCAAAAACGGATTCCTTTAAAATTTTCCTTGTTTTTTCCAGGGGGATCCCCACCCTGTCTTTTGTTTGAGGGTGAGGGTGGCCCAATGATGGGAACGGACTCCAAAGAGGTTCCACATGAAAACCTCTGGGGTTTCCACCTGCTACCAATGCCACGCGACCGAATGAGACAGGGCGACGTTCGCGTGCTTCGCGTGTGCCCAGGTGCACCGAAGCCAAGCCGAGGGAGGCGGTTGGCCTTCCCTGCAGTGTGGAGAAGTGGGGGAGTAGCCGCCAAGGTGCGCAAAGCCTGCAAACGGGCGGCCAAAGGAGCTGTCCGCTGCTTCGCTGCTTCAAAACACCGCGCATCGTTCCGGGTTCCGCCCGACAACGTCCACGCTTCTTGGAGGGACAGGGATGGAGTAAGAAAGGAAGCAGAGAAATGTCAGCAAGGGTATAAAACACTTTATTAATATCATACCACGTATAAAAGTAGCGGCATCAATTAATTCATTTCACTTTGTGCAAACAGCAACAATGGTTACAAAAATAACAACTTGCAATAAAATCATTCAAACCGGCTAATAACTTTGGTTCAGAGCATAATTAATGCACCACCTGCAGCCTATCACATTGAATTCAGCAGCTGTCATTACATGGACTTACAGCTAATGTTACTTAATATTTAAAGGAAGCCTTTGCAGAAAAGCTTAGAACACTTTTTATTCAATGGGAGCTGCTTTTAGTAGTTAACTACAATGAAATTACAAGGACATTTCCATGCGTTTTGTAGACATGCAATCGACTGTGAGATAATTGACAAGTTTACTGAATTAAAAAGCTATAACAATTAAATTGTAACAATCACAGAGACATCAGACCATGTTTGCCTGGGCAAAGAAATCGTTCTGGAAAATCTCAGCATTGAGACTACAGTATCTAAAAAATGGGAATGCATAAATGAAAGACTACGCAAGAGATCTTAGACAGAAAAACGAAAGCCTTCAATGACATACAATGGTCAGCTTAGGCCATAATAATAAGGATAATTTTTCCATAACAGAGAGAAAAGCCTAAAGCAAACAAATGAATGTTTCAAATCACTAGTTATGGAGTTTAATTTTAAAGCACTTTGACTAGAAGCTCCACAACACTTACATTTATAATTATCAAAATTTGACATTAATTGAGCTTTGCATTAAAAAAAAAAAACACAGACCAGCGCAAGTAGTTTTATTTTAAAATTAAAATATACTCTTATCATCTCAATGTAGCAACAGCTATACATTTGATTCACACATATAATAATAATGATAGCAATAATAGTAATAATAATAATAATAATAATAATGAAACAGCACATTCATGAGAAAGGGCGCCCTTTCTCATGGCACATTCAACATTTAACAACTTTTTAGTGAAAAAGCATTTTTTCCCCTCACAACAGCACAGTGTGAAATTACAAGTGATATGTAACAAATGAAAGAACTGTGAACAATAACAGATCCAACATCATAAAAGTATTTCCCACTAAAATGGCTTTTATTGACCAGCTTAACAACTTGGGAATGTATTGGCAACTTGGGAGCAAAAATCACAATGACATCACTAGACATTCAAAAGTTGCCAAAGAGCTACAAGCTGTGGTGATGAGTGAGGGAAGAAGTGGTGGTGTTTACCATTTACAAAATGACTAAAATGAAAGTAATTAAAAATGACTTATTGAATGGGAATGGAACAAAGAGTAAGAACCAGAAATTTCCTACCACACTATCTCTCCGGTTTGGTACATCAATAGCATCAAAACTGTTATTTTCTCCACTTGATTAAAGGGGGAAAACTTTATCACAGAAGTATGATTTGACACCAATATCATGAAAACACAACAATTTAGTTAAGTTCTATGAAACATGGAATGAAAAGAAAAACTGCCCATTGGTTTTTTTCTTATGGATCACAATCACCTGATTGACATGAATGAGAAATGATTATTAGAAACCTTAATAAATGTAAAACTATCTCTTTCAGTTAGTTCTTTTTTTAAATGCCACAGATAACGTAAAATAAGATACACTTGTTTAAAATCATGTGCTGATAAATTGCTATTTAAAATAGGATTACTTTCCATCCCAGTAATCTAATTTTCCTTGATAGAAAATGAGGTTTTGCGTTGGCAGAGCTATAGGTGGTTCTGAGCCAACTGAAGGCATATCATCCTAAGAAAAGGTGGCAAAGAAAATCATGGTGAGTCATACACAACCAGAAATATAAAACAGCATTTTTTAAAAAAGAAGAAAAAAGTGCTCAACTTGATTTACCTGGAATTGTTTTATGAACTCCATTAGGCTGGATCCTAGTTTCTCACCACTGGCTCTCAGGTTACTCAAACTAAAAAGAAATAGAAGAGAATAGTATACAAAGACCACACAACCCTTGAGTACCAATCAGCTACATTCAGAAACAGAAACCAAAAAGAAAAATAGCTACCTTTCTTGCTCTCCTAAGCCACAGCTAATAATGGATTCACAAATAAGTTTATTGGCTTCCACATCAAATAGGGGAACACCAAAACAACAATCAAGCAAAGTCCAGGAGTCTGATGCCTCTGGAAAGTCTGATTGGCATTCGGGTAAATTCAGCTTAAGTTTCCCAGCCAGCTGATCTGCCACTGATACAGTTTCACTATCTGGGCCAACTGACTGTGAAGTTTCAGCATTCATGTCCCCGTTCTGCTACAGCAAAAAAGTCATGAGCAAAGAACTGAGTGTGATGAAGAAGAAGTTACAAAATATTTTTCATTTCATTTGCTCTTACTTGCTTCAAACTGTCCAACTCCTCGCGCAATATGTTTGCACATTCTTGGTTGGTTATTCCATTTACAGGACTTGGCTGTCTATCATGTTGGCATTCCGTAGCCAATCCAATCACTCTAGTAATGTTTGAGGTCTCATTTTTCTTCCCTACAAAGTCATTTGACCCTAATGACACCATAGTCACAAACCCACAGTTGTGTTTAAGATCAACATGATCGGACAGTCTTAATATTGCAGGATGTTTTTGCCAATCTAGGGGTTTCTTTGCTGTAAGGTTAAAATATGAAGAATTATGTCACATACACAGTACAGATATGTTAGGATGTGCTCATGTAGACAGCTTACTTGATTTTGATGTAAATGGAAACGGCACAAGTGCAGTTTCAGCCCCTCTCAAGACACCATATGCCTGAAATATGATTTTCACTATTAGATAAATTATGGTAAATCCAAAACTACAAGGCATCATTCACGCCACCTACACACCTGAACAAGGACTGAAGAATGACACAGAGCCTCATTCAAAGTAACAACAATGTTAGCCACAGGCAAAACGCCAGGGTCATGACCCCAAGTAGTGACCAAAACTTTATCATAATTGCGGAACATTCCTGGCATTCGTTTTAATCTTGTACCTAAGGGAAGAATTTTTAAAATGTTTATTTGGTTTAAAAGGATTTTTTTTATTGGGTGTAAGTAGTAACGATTTCACTTTTAAAACAGTAAATCAGTTATATGAAGCCTACCCTTTGCAAGCAAAAGTGATGGTGGGCCATATCCTGTCTTTTGATAGAGAAATAATTTAAACCATGCTGAATTGACTTCAGGGATAGCTGGGCCAAGGTGTGGAGGTTCCATACTGGTGATAGGCCTAATTTCCCGGCTTAGGGGAGCCATCGACACAAGTAATCTGAAAAATAAGAAAAGCAAATCACTTCTACTCTTTTAGGTCAGTCCATTTCATTTGTGAGTCTTCAGTAATAATTCTTATATCACAGGACATCTTAAAATAGCAAGAATATGTTGAGAATAAAAAATTAAAATCAAGACTTACAAATAGTTTTTATTAAGTAGCCTTGTGCATGTGGCAAAGTCAAGAGAAAGCAGGGATTCACACCGTACAAGATCCAAACAATGATTTTGTCTAAGAAATAAGATAGTAGACCTAAGAATAACAGCATGGTCAAAATATCTTTGGGCTTCTCCCTCTCCCTCATTGCCTTCAACAGAAACTTTTTCAAGCTCAAGTAGAAAACTATCTAAAGATTCATCAGGTAGCTTTCCAACTTCAAACATTGTTACAGCATGATTTTTGAGGCCCTAGAAAACAAAACAAATGATAACAAAACACTTTAAGATTTTTTTAAAAAATGGCAGACGCTTAGTTGTGTTTACTTACTGGTGACAAATTTCCCATCATGAGAAATGCTGTTAAAGTTGAGTCAAATAGAAATGCAATACGCTTTGCACGAGGCTGTGCAACAGCTGCTTCACTCTCCTCTGTACCGCTAGACCCATCAGCATCAGCTAGAGCAGCATTTATCTCTTCAAGTAAAGGTTCTTCAGGCGGTGATACAGTTCTAAAACAGTAAAGAATAATACCTACATAAATCCAGGGTGCAGTGCATTGTTTCTGATAAAATTAGTTTTATTAATATAGTACTGGATTGTTAATTTTCAAATCTTGATGATTAAAACTGACTTTTTTCCTTCAGAGGCAGCCTGTTTCCATGAAGAGTGAGTAGGAGCACTGCAGACTTCAGAGACTTTCTTCCGTGCAAATCCTAATCGGCAATAAAGAGAAACCGCATTTTTGACAAGATGGGCATCAATCTGAAGAACACTTGCAAGCTAAAGGAAAATACACTGTATAAATATCAGATAACTCTCATACTTTGAAGAACCATGATCCTATGAGCAATCATATGAAAAGTCTCACCTCCCCAACAGATGTGTGTTCATCAATTGAAACAAATATTTTGTACAGTAGTGTCTCAAAGTAGTCACCTAGGACTCTATTCATGACAAACCCCTCCAGTGGAGGCACAACAATGAAGTCTGTATCATCAATGGGAACATCTAAATAAATAAGACCTTTCCTGCAATCGGATTTAAAGTGAAATCAATCAGTTATCATACCATAAGATACATAGCAAGAAGACCAAGATTCAGTATAATTTTCATACTTGTATAAAGAATGTACGAGGTAGTAATCTAAGTCACCTGCTCGCTGACTACCCATGTCAATTATTTTGTCAATTATGGCAACCTCTGCTTCAGACACCAACTGTGTATGGAGAAAGAAACAAACCATATGAAAGGAGATGGATAAAAAGGAGAGAAAAGAAAACAGACAAGATCAGGGCACCTTTATGTCTTCCTCTGTGATGTAGCCAACATCAACGCACCACCAACTTTCCATGGTTATGTCTACGGGTTTAGGAGGCAGTAAGTCTTTGACATTTTTGCGCCGGAAAAGCTTTCTGCCTGACCTACATTGATTCATGAGCTCAATGTATTCATTTCGACCAATGCCCAATAAACGCAAACCTGCAATGAAGTAAAATATCATGTCTTCCTATCCTATTAAGTAATTCAATAAACCAGGCAAGACCAATTTACTCACAATCTGCAGCAGTAAAATTTGGAAGAGAGTCATAAGAGCGCTCCTGCTCCATGATCCCACCCATTACATTCAAATAATATTGAAATGGTGTTACTCGCAGACCTTTTACCATAACATCGGCAAGATGATATGGGTACAGCATAAGATGTTGTTGAGAGTAATCAAGTAGTTCTTCATAGTACCTCTTTTCATCTTTCCTGACATATTGCACTGTAATGGAAATACAAATATTATTCACAACAGAATTTTGAGTGAGATACATCATTTTTTTTTTTTCAGAAATAAAAAACGGAAGTTAGATGACTTATACTTCAGAAAAAACATACCTAAGTTGCCTCTGAATCGTAATTGGTTTTTAATGCTAAAAAATGTAATACATTTCTTGTACTCCTTCTGAGAATTGCCCAGCCGCTGAAACAAAACATGGAAAAAATAGAAAAAGAGTAAGGATAAAATCAAGTAAAAGTCAATGACATTACAAACGAATTGAAACTTTAATCTAGTCAAGTTGATAAACAATGGGGAAGGAGACTTGCAAGATTCATTCAACAATACTGGTCAGGTGCCATAGATAAAATGTCACCAAGCCACACAATGAGACTTCAAAATGTAGAAATTCAATTAATGTGAAACGACCAATAAGGCAGCGTTTACCTTCTAGCTCAAGGCTCAAGTAAAGTAATGACAGTTGTATCTTAGCAGACGAACTGGAAGGTGTAGATTTTATCTTACCTGTTTGACGTTAAACGGAAGCTTGCTCCAGTCATGATTTTGGCGGATGTGGAATTCCACGTCGTTATTCATTTCTGTAGTGTTTCATAGACACTCAGACCAAAAGTACTGTAAGCAACATAGTAAAAACTGGAAGTAACCTCAAGGCACGTCACCACTTCACAAGCACACACAAACACACAAAAAACATAAAAACAACAAAAACTAAGCGCGGCCTTGCAGCATAGTGACAGGGGGTCTCCATGCTTGTAGTTGTGACTATAAACAGTGCTACACAGCTACTGGCATGCAAAATAAAATGCATCAACTTTGTGCGTGAACTTAATCTTAATTTTGCAATTGCGACGGCATTGCTAATGCGGTCTTGGTCTAGAGGGGTGTATTTCCGACTCCGTCAGTTGGTAGCACTGTTCAAAGCATGGCGCGAAAGATTGTTTCGAGTTTTGTTTAGTGTAATGGTGTGGTGTTGATGCCGTCAAATTGAACTTTTCAGATTGAACTATCGTTGTTTTCTTTGACAATGGCAGCGAGTTCAGAAGACAGTGCGGGTTGGAAAAATCTGAAGCCAGCCATGGCAGACTTGCAAGATTTACTTAGGTGTTGGACATGGTAGGATCTTAGTGCCGTGTGTAACCTCTTACTTTTCTGAATTTTATTTAGCAGTACACAAAAAGACCACATAGCATTTTAAAAAAAGATGATTGAGAATGATATTACTAGAGCCCTTTATCATTTTTATTTAATTGTTGTCTTTTCCTCTTTTTAGCAACAAAGTTTTCACAGAACCCGTTAGCTATCGATGTGGCCATTTCTTTTGTGGCCATTGTGCCAAAGAAGCTGGGTCAAAATGCGGTTCGTGCAATGTTCCTTCCCTGCCATCAGAAATTGTACCCGATCGGATAGTCACTGCTGTCCTTGGATGCTTTCAGACCTTATCTGCCGTTATAAATGGGGAACGGTGAGTGTTTAAGTTTCCACCACAAGGCTTACAATTCTAAACGTATTTATGAGTAAGTATTTAACAAATTGCAGAGAAGCTGTTTGTCAACTTGCTGTTCGTGCACCAAATATGGAAAATAGCAGCAGTAAGTCCGTGCACAGTGTAGACAACAGTGCCGTGGGAATTAATAAAAGTCCCCTAAATGGATCTAAACCAGACCCTCCGAAAGGCAAGGAAGACTCAACAATAACCAAAGCATCTCCTGCTAAGTCGGAAATTGAGAAACCATTTGTTAAACCATCCAGAGGCAGAAAACCATCTTTGAAAGGGGCTAAAAAACCGGTTGCATTAAAGAAGTCTGAAATCAGTAATGAGAAAAAATCTTTGGACTGTCTGGAAAAGAACAATCCTGGCAAAAAGACAAAACTTGGTTTGGACCGAAGCTTAAGCATTGATGCAGCTGTATCCACAGCATCAGAAAGAAGCAAGAAGACAGGTGCCCAGGATGAACAATTTTCACCCGATTGTTTTGCTACTCCCAAGAAGCCCAGAAAGAGCAACAATAAACTGTCTGATGTTTCTTCCATCTCTAAAACCAAAGAGATGAACTCTACTGTGAAGTCGACTCCAAGAAAAAGTAATACACCCGGAAGAGAACTTGCGAAGAAAAACCACAAGGGTGAGACCCCGCTACATGTTGCTTGCATCAAAGGAAATATAGCCCGTGTGCGCTCTTTACTGGAAGCCAATGCAACACCTAACACTAAAGACAATGCAGGCTGGACTCCCCTTGTAAGAGAAATATAATCTTGATTAAACATAAATTTTAAATGACACATTCCTATGTTGATAAAATATTTCAATTTACAGCATGAGGCAGCAAATCATGGATTCACAGAAGTGGTTGAACTTTTAGTCAAAGCTGGAGCTTTCCTTGATGTTCCTGGAGCTGGAAATTTGACGCCACTTCATGAGGCTGTCGCAAATAACCATATTGAGATTGTTAAACTTCTTGTGGCTCATGGTGCAGACATATATGCTAGATCATCAGACGGCAACACTCCTTTGTGAGTACATATTTTCACTTTAACCATTTTATCCTAATCATGCTGTTTACTACGAGCATGTTAGCAAGTTATTGGATTGTGCTACCCAGTGTCAAATTTTTAGATTGTCAATCTTTTTAAAAAAATTATTTTGCTTTCATTTTTAAGGGATCTAGCTATATCTAAGGAACTAAAAAACGCTCTTCTCAACTCAAGCAAGGTAGAAGCATCTCCCAAAACTGATTCAAATACTTTAAAGTCTGCTCTTGTCCAAGAAGAAGCAGTTCTGTATGGAGACCATGGTCTTACTTCTGATGAAAAAAAGCAACTCCAGACTATTGCCGCAACTTTAAATGTTAAACTGGTTCCAGCATTTGGGTAAGCCAATGAAAATTAATATTTGATATGAAAAAGTGTCCTTGTACTAAAATTATTTGCCTATCGTCATTTTCAGTCCTGATGTAACACATTTTGTTGCTGCCTCTGATGATGAAGGCTCTTGCCCACCATCCCTGGATTTATTGTCAGCATTATTGAAAGGCACTTTCCTTTTGAATAGAGATTGTAAGTTGTTTTTAATGTTCTTGTGTTGTTCTGTCTGTTTTTCTTTTAAAACCTTAATTCTTTTGTATCCTAGGGCTGGAACTTGGTGAGAGAAATTTACAAGACGATAGGTTTGAACTTGCTGGCATCACAGATTTCATAGATGCAGAAGCACCTAAACTTAGTCGAACCAATTCCTTGAAACAGGTATGTACTGCATCAGTATGTTGTAGAAGTAAATCTTTTAATAAATAGTAGAAATTCATTTACTTCCTACTCTCTCAACAGCTGCCGAGATTATTCAATGGGTGCCACTTTTATGTCACCAATAATGCACACTTCAATTTAACCAACTGTAATTTAACCAGAGCTGATATAATTGCTCTCATTAAAGCTGGAGCTGGTATTGTTTTGACACGCCAACCTGACCCAGAAGCCATACCCGCTTCAGAGAAAACAGTTCCATACCATGCTCCAAGAAATGGTGCCCTAGTGTCTACCTCACACTTCATACTTTACTCCCCCGGTAAAGGGGAACCTGAAATGAAGTATAATATGAAACATTGTAAAACGCTTCCAGTAGAATGGTTCATTAACTGTGTATTAAACTGGCAGCTCTTAGATCCTTAGGCAAGTGTTATTCCTAATAAGTCAATTCAGGTGTTTCTGTTTAGCTTAAACTTTATATTCAGTTCACCATGTTTAGGGTGACTTACAGTAGTTAGTTATGTTTTATTTCATGATGGTGTTTACAGTCAATCCCTAAGATATTTTTTGCCCTCAAATTAATATTTAAAAAATAACTCTGGTAACATTAAAATTTTAAGCATAAGCATATCTTTCTCATGACAAACCAAATACACCTGCTTCAGAAACAGTATAGGGTACTGTTGCTTCAGGTAAGTCTGGAGCAAATACGACCTGTAGAGACCTGTGGGGTGCACCATCTATCCCATTTGGTTCCATAAGATGCAGTTGGATCCGTGTTGTCACTAGGTTGGACCAAGCTAAGCCAAGAGCAGGTATACATCGTTCAGGGCCATCTGATGCAGTAACCTGGAAGGAAAATAAACCTTTACTTTTTGAGTACATAGGAAAGTACTGAGATACTCCTCTAACTGATCAATTACTCACTTGATTTACACAGATGATGCACACTCCATACTCTGCTGCAATTTTATGCAATTGCCCTGCTACAACTCTCATATCTTCAGCTCGGTTTCTTATTTCATTGTTCTCATAGGAAGAACGAAATATCCCAGCAACAGAATCTATCACAATCAAGCCCACTCTCTGACTGGTCATAAGCTTAGGGAGACGTCCCAAAACACATTGTCGCATTCCTGCCTTTAAATTAAGATCCAACATCACTAAAAATAATGCTAATTAAAAACTGTACCATGAAGAATAAACAGAACAAAATTACTTACAGCATCAGCGATGTGTTCAATAAATATATTATCTCCAAAGTTTTTGGCACTACCACAAACTCCTCTCCTTCGTGAGTATGTGTGAAATAGTTGCTGAAGACGATTTGTTGGGAAGGAATCTTCTGTGCATATGTATACTGCACCTGTAGTTTAGAGCAAGACCCTAAATTGTTATTTTAGGAAAATTATAAGAAAAAGCAGTGATATTATAAGTATGTTACCTGAATTGAAGCCACCTTGAGACTGAGAATACTGGACACCTAAACACAGCTGAAGACACAATTGTGTCTTACCACACCCACTTTCACCTGCCAACTCTGTTATGCCTCGTGCTGGAAACCCTCCTCCTAATGCATGGTCCAGGATATGACATCCCGTAGAAAGACGTTTCCATTTTTCAAGTGAGTTTTCTGATTCGAGAGCAGTTGTAAATCCTGGGTTTAAAACAGTTGCTGCTGCAGAGGTTGATAGTGAGTCAGCTTCAGCAGAATTCAACGAGCCTATCCGCAAAAGGCCAAATTCTGAAACTTGAAGGACAGCACCTGGACCTCTAATATCAGCTAAGGAGACAAAAATTGAAATATTATTTCGGAGTTGTTGCTTATCTTTGGAAATAAACGTAGTTAGTCACCACAAACCTTTCTTCAACTCCTCCTGATGTTTATCTGAGAGTTTAGTTCCCGCCATAACCAATACTCCCCAATATCGACAACACGCATAATTATCAGCCCAATAGCGTCATAACTGACTGAGCTAATTGATAATGACCCAACACTCGATCATATAAAAGCGCGACAACAAAGAGTTTCACTCCATGGATGTGAAACTGACAAGATCCATTCAAAGGATCCACGCTTGCCGCGGACGTCTTCTGCTTTCATTTGGCCTGCCAATAACGATGGTATTCGCAAGACGCAGCTTATTGGCAGGGAAGGCGCAGCACGCAGTATCGACAGGACAGGAGGTGGACGGAGAGCCGCGGGAAGGGAAGTGCCCTTGAGCTTGATACACTCTCACCGGAAGTCCGGGGGCGATGATAGGAGATAAGCGTGGATCCAGTCTACTTGTATTGAGTCCGCAGAAACTTGAGTTTAGCGCAAGTTCGTGACAAGGCCGGCCGGGCCGGCTCCAGCAAAAACTTTTTCGGGGGGAGAATGCGAGTTCGCGCCCCCTTCCCCCTTTCCTTCCGTCCCGCACGAGGAGCACACGTGTCTACGATAACAACGGAGCCGACGTCGTTCAGGTGCGGACCGGGCGAGGGGGAAAGGCCGAAACTTTGCCTCTTTCGGCTGCAGGGGCGGAAAGTGACAGACTTTTTCTGCCTACCTCCTAGGCGGATGCACTTGCCTAAACCTCGCGAAGAACTGTCTTCGTTCCCGAAACTGGGCGCTTGGCTAGCTCATGAAGCCGCGCCAAATTTCTGCAAACTCCTCGTGGCGGCTCGCGGTGAGGCGAGGGGGGGGGGGCAGCGATAAGCCAGGAGGCTCGTTCCGAGAGTCGTTTTCGTCGCTCTGTCTCTCTCGCACTCCTGGGGCGTCATGTAGAGATGCGAGAGAGGCAGCGACGAAAACGACGCTCGGAATCAGTCTACATAGAGAGGAGTGCCAAGAAAGAGTGCTGCCTGCACTTGAAAGACGGCATGCATGACGGCGAGTCAACCGAGTCGTTGGACGCGGCAGCGCGGCAGCAACAGACACGAGGCGTCTTTGCAGATAGCCAAAACTGTTTTCATAGTCATCGTTCCACTGAAACTTTTTCACATTTGCCTGCCCACGGCCCACGGGCTTGTCTTACGGGTTGATTACTAGGCCCTAGGAGAGTCTGACAGGGGCGGTCAACCCTCCTCCTTCTGAACCGCGCCTGTTCGGCTGCACAGTGTACGGACACGGACGGAAGGCCGATGAGTCATCGCGTGGTGGATCCCCTGTCGCGTCGCGAATCGAGTCGCGAATGAACCGAACACCCAGGCGAAGCGTCATCCTCGCCGCGAGGCGCATAGATGGCATAGCTCTCCTCTGCGGGAATTACCGAATTACTGCGCCGTCCAGAGACACTGGCACACTGCGAGTCGAAAACCAGTCCGGTTGCGTCGTTCCATTATGGGACTTCCATGTCGCGCCCGGACGAGAGAATCCTATGCACCACGGCGTGCCGATTATGCCGAGGCTGCTTCCGAGCACCGTCGCGTCGCGCTCTGTCTCTCTCGCACTCATGCGGCGTCTCGTAAGTGTGTGAGAGAGACAGCGACAAAGGTCGGGGTCAGATTAGCCTAGGCTCGCCACTTCTCCGCGTTCGCTATTCGGCCCATTCGGCCGCGCGGCGCAGCTCCGCTCATTCCGAAGAATCGTTCCGTCGCTTAGTTTCCATGGGGACCGCGGGTGCGAGAGAGAGAGAGAGAGAGAGAGAGAGAGAGAGAGAGAGAGAGAGAGAGAGAGAGAGAGAGAGAGAGAGAGAGAGAGAGAGAGAGAGAGAGACCAAGACGCAATGACGACGCGGTCTTTCTGTATCATGGGCGGCGGCGGCGGCAGCCCGCTCCTCGCGGTATCGTGGCCGGTGGCAACACGTCGTACGTATATCATTGGTTTCCGCAAACGGGCGGGTGTTTGCGAAGGGTCGCTTCGTCGCTCCGTCCCTCTCGCACCCCTTGGGGACGCCCTATGACAGTGCCGGATCCAGAGGCGACCTAAGGGGGGTCAAAGTAGCACTCTTTGCCTACCTTTCAGGCGGCTAGGGTGGGCGCGCTGGGCCTTGGCAGCCTTGGCAGCCTTGGCAGCCTTGGCTGGGCCTGCTGGGCTGCCCCGTCTCAGGTTAGCTGGCTGATACCGCACAGCGTCTCCTTACTCTCTCTGTCTCTCTCACACCCCCTGCACGCCCTTGGAGGCGAGAGAGACGCAGCGATATCTGCAATGCGCGACTGTGTCGAGTGGCTTCTTCCGGCGCGTCTTACTTTGTCATCGACCGGGGGGGGGGCGCGGAAATACAGCTCCCCTTGCCCCGCTATCTCTAACCTGTCTCAACCGGCCTCAACCTGCAACAGAGACAGAAAAGAGTGCCTCTTCGGGGGAACAGTGGTGTTCCTTAAGGAGGCTGCCACCCACACCGGAAGGGAGACGGAGGGCGGCGGGCGCGGCGGCGCTCTGAAACAGTCCGGCTTCGGACCGTAGAAAACGCACACGAGAACGCCATCGGCATGCACGGCGCGCCGCCGCCGGCCGAGCGCATAGCGCGCCTCTCGCGCGACATCTAAGTAACAGTGGGAGGCTCATGCTTGACGGAGCCGTTTGTTGAACGTCCAACCTTAAACCTTAAAACCTCGGCACGAGCCCTGGTTGTGGCAAAGAGCAGCGGTGAACGCGCAACAAGTGCGACGCCCCCGCGTGTGGCTGCAAACGCCGCAGTCTGGCTTTCGTTCCGGCGCACGTCGCGCTGTAGCGCCTGCGAGGTAGGCAACTGACAAATCCCGCAACACACCGTCGTGGAGACGGTGGCCTACCTCGCCCCTGCCGTCAGCACGGCGGCAGGGTAGGCCACCGTCTCCACGACGGTGTGTTGCGGGTCGGGTGGGTGGCCTACCTCGCAGGCGCTACAGGCACGGAAAGACGGTCTGTCCGTCGGTGACAACTTCGCGGGTGGCTCGTCGAGAGATGCGGATGCGCGAACGGTGGCTTGGCGCAGCCGACAGTCTGATTAGGTTAGGTTAGGTTCGTTCAAGAAGTCGGCTCGTCGGCTGGCTTTACCGCGCAGCTGGCTGCCCGGCCTGACCCAATGTTGTTGTTATGACTCAACCTCGGCCCGCGCGGGTCGGGTACTGTACAGGCCCCTCTAGCCTCTACCTCGACTTCTTCCCGCTGTTCGCTGCTTGCCACTTTGCTCGCCCGATGACCCAAAGACCGTTCGGCCGTTCGCGTCGCGTGCCGTTTGGTGTCGCTGGCGCCGTTGGCAACGCGGGGCCGAGCCGGGCATTTGTTTCCCGATGCTGCTGCAGCGTGGCTTCAGCAGCCGGCTTCAGCCATTGTGTCGGGCGGCCCGCGAATTCCCCCCGCCCCGCCCCCTCCCCACTCCCCCATCTCCCACGCTCACGCGCCAGACGCGGGTGGCGGGTGGCCGCGGGTGGGAGGGGGGGGGGGAGACTGCCACTTTTCCTCATAGCGGAGCAAGTCGCACATTGGTCGGCTGGCTCCTGATCGCTGACGTGGTGGCGGCCGGGGCGCGGCGGGGCGCGGCGGGGCCGAGCGCCGCAGCCACCTCGCCTCGCCACTCGACAGGAAGTGCACACAAACAAGGATCAGAAGCGTGATTCGCAAGACTCGCGTCGTCGCTATCTGCCTCTCTTGGCCCTAGCCCTACACACGGGCCGTGCACGGGCCGCCCCGAGAGTGCGACAGAGACAGGGCGACGAGACGATTCTTCGGACTCTCTCTAGAGTCGGGGGACAGCCTGGAAGGCTAAGAGTGCAGCAGCAAAAGTTCCCAGTGGGCAACTGCTGGCAGTCCCGGCGGGGGAGGCGGGGGGGAGAACGCTCTTGACGAAAGGCGAAAGGATTAAGCTGATTACTTGTGGCCGCAATAGTCTCACCGAGGGCGTGAGTCCTCTTTCCGTGCAGACCGATAGCAGGATGGCACTCTTTTTTCAGCGAAGGCCCTACAAGTAAATGTGTCTCTATACAATATTGTGCGTAGCCTCACACGACTTTGTGCATGCCAAATTTTTCAGCCCGCATGGCAGCAGGCGCGGTTTCCAGAGAGGGGAAAGAGGGGGGGGTGGCGGCGTCGCCCCTCCTCAAGGCGGCAAAAAGTGGCCTGTAGGGTGGTGACTTTTGCGACCGCCCCCTCCCCTCCCCCCCCCCTTGGATCTGGATCCACCCTTGTCCGGGGGGCTGAAACCCTTCTCCCCTCCACGGCGCGAAGGCTTTCGCCAGTGCCGTGTCACCCAGGCATGACCCAGGTGTGCCGGAGAATATTAATTTGCACAAAACGGAGCCGGCCGACCGGACACCTGATAATATAATGATAAAAGCAAACCGCGTGCGTCAGCAAACCGGCGCGTCTCGTCGCCGACGCATCTGCCTCGCCGTGCCGGCGCGCCCGGCGCCTCTCTGGCCTCTTGGAGCGCTGCAGCGCCGTGCAGCGCCATGCACCCACCTGCCGGGTAGCACGTGATTCGCGGCACCGCACCTGCCAGTCCCAAGAAAGAGCCGCCATGCCGTCGGCAACAGCCATCTAGGCCTCGGCCAGGGCCTCGGCCAGGGCGCGCGGAGAGATTCAGCGCCATGTTTCGTCGCTCTTTCTCTCTCGCACTCTTACGGAGCGCCCAATGAGTGCGAGAGAGACAAAGCGACGGAACCGCCGGTCGCGATCAGTCCGCTGCGCAGCGCAGAGCCAAACTAGAAGATCCCAGGAACAGCCGCAAGATGCAACAGGGGTTGTGTCGGGTTTGGGCCTTCGGCGTGGCGTCCTTCTGAGGAAGTTTCTAGAAGCGCGCCACGCTCCGCATGGTGTAAGTATGCCCTCTATTATTTTTTGTTTGTTTTGGTTCGCGAGGTTGGTCGCGAAGGGAGTGCCAGAGGCGGCCAGGGGGCTTCCCGGCCAGTGCAGCCCTGCGCGCACTGCGTTGACTGCGTTCCGATTGGCGGAGCCAAGGACACGCGGGTGTGGAGGGGGGCCGCGAGACACAGACGTGGACGTCGAAGGGGTTCGGGCCTAGCTCGGACGCGGTCGCCAAGCCGTGGCCAAGCCGGCCGGCGTCGCAGTGGTGCAGCTGCGCTTGGAGGACACAGTCGTGTGAGGCACTGCACTCTCTGTACCGGCACCACATCCCGCACTTCGAACGCAAATTCGCTTGGAGGTACGAACGCGTGCGCGCCTGTGTGTGAGGGTGTGCGAGTGTGTGGGTGTGAAACTCCTCCAGGACGCCGTCCAGTGCATCCTTCCAGTGAAGCCAAGAAACAGTGCAGTGCTCCCGTTCTCTTTCTCTGCCCCTGGGGGTCGCGAGTGTCACTATTCGCACCGCCTCTGGGACGCTAGGCTCTCTAGGCGGTGCGAAGTGTGAATAGTTTCGGCGTGATAGCCGCCTCCCTTTGTGCTGGCGATCGACCTCGTCAGTTGGCAGTTTTAATTAGTGCTTTTACTGCGGGTGTGTGAAATTATCAAGTATGTGAGCCCCGCCCGGCGCGAGTCGCTGAAACGACGCCATTTTTCAAAAGTTTCCTCTGGTGCAAGTGCATCCATCAGTGCTATCGTATCGCGCAAAAGTGAGACCTAGGAACCTAGGATAAAAAAAATCCAAGTTGAAGCAATGACTTGATATCCCTCTCATTTTCCGGGCCAAGAATGCATCCTCCCGCTCGCACACGCAGACACACAGGGGTGAGCGGCAACTGCGTGATGCGAGACGTGGCACCTCCGGAAAGGAGTGACGTCGTTTCTGCCCCTGCCGGTGCATGTTGCATCACTTTGGTATCAACTCGCTCCGGGAGACCCTTCTCATTGAACCGTGATCAGATGTGGCGGTCAGAACGTCGTGGTGGCCGGGGTGGGCGGCGGGGCAAATAGGTCCTTCACGACATCCCCCTGGGGTCCCCCTGGTCGGTGCGCCTTCACGGCGAAAAAAAAAACAACTACAGCAACAAGTGAATACCAACAAATATATAGGATCGAACAAAAATAAATAATTAAAGGCGTGTTGCGTACAATAACGAAAATAATTCTCTTTTTTTTTCAGGAAATGTCTGTGGAGCCCGATGACGCTGTTCAAGGCCACCTGGTAAGTTTCGTACGACGAAACCCAGAGAGCTTTTTGCGTGTTTCTTGAACCAGAAATGTCGCTTCGGTAGTGTCCTTCGCGCAATAAACGAACCGCTCCCCTATTTCAGGCCTCTAATTCCAACAATCCCATGTGGTCGCAGCCGATGGCGATCGAAGTGGATGAGTTGAGCCAAAGGGTAAGTCCTCGATCTCCGGAGGAGGAACGATGAGTTTCACACATGGAAACACCACAAGAAAATAAAATCTGAAATGTCCAGTTGCAGGGGACGGGCATATCGGAGGAGGAGTCCATGCTCTGCGTGCAGAGGCCGGTAAGTTATTGCACTGTAAAAGGAAAGGGGAAAAGGGAGGTGGGGGTGGAATTGGCCTCCTGAGTCGCACCCCTCCGTCACCGAGACAATACATCCCAATAATTGTGTTGGCATTCCCTCCTTATGTTGCAGCCCTCGCCAGAGCTCGTGAGCGATGAAGATTGGATACAGATTTGCGATGATCTTGATCCGGAGAACCCAAAAAGAGAACATTATCTGGAGGTCTTGCGTTCTGCCGCCATTGAACTTTCTGCTCCGGAGAGCCCCAAAACAGAACATTATGTGGACGTCTTGGGTTCTGCCAGTCCTGTCGGCGGCGGCACCTCCTCCAGCACTGATCAACTTTCTCCTATGCCGGAGAGCCCGCGTTCTGCCAGTCCCGTCGTCGAAATCCTCGCCCTCGCCTCCCTCTTGGTGGCAGCCCAGCCCAGCAGCCCTCCATCCCCAGTCGACGAAGCCATGGACACCTCCGCCGCCTCCGCCGCCACGGACCCACCCGCCGAGGAGACTGCTTGCGAGCGCCCCAGCCGAGTCGGCCGCCGCACGAGGTCCACCGCCAAGAAGGACATGACCGCCGGGAGCAAGGAAGACGCCACGGCCAGAAAACGGCGAGGCCGCCGGCCGGCCGCCGCGACGAACAAGAAAACTGGGCAGCGGACGAAGAGGCGCTCCCCAGTTCTAGAGTGCGACCTTCGCTGCGAGCAGTGCGACAAGAAGTTCAAGAGAAGGGACTACCTCCGGCGACACGAGAATCTCGTCCACAAGAATCTGAAGCCCAAGTGCTCCGAGTGCGGAGAAGAGTTCAGTGGCAGGACGATCCTGACTCGCCACATGAAGACGATACACGGGCTGAACGCCCAGGGCGAGCTGCTGTACCAGGCCAAGACGCAGTGCGACTACCCCGGCTGCGACTTCCGCACCCACCGCCCGGCGGACAAGCTAAGGGCCCACATCGAGAGCGTGCACAAGGACAAGCTTCACCAAGTCTTGCGGTGCAGGCTGACGCGCGGACAAGTGGCACCTGTGCCGTGCAAGTTCATTTTCTTCTCGGAGAAGTGCAGGACGCAGCACGAGGAGCGGCGCACCGCGGGCCACACCCGGCAACCCGAGCAACCCGAGCAATCCAGCTGCAACCGCGAGGAGTAGTCGCTCTACCAATCAACTGTCATATGGCATATATTACATGTTTGTTTCTTTTATTTGACGATTGAGCGGTCAGTTCTCCTTGTATTAAGAGTGATGACCACTTCTTCGCCAGTAATTTTATTCTTGTTTTTTATTTCTTAATAAATGCAATAAGTTTTTTCCTCTGCCGTTTCCTCTCTATTATTTCCCCTCGAAACTCCGAGTCATTTTTCAATTTAAATTTCCCGGTGAGCTTGCCGCAGGAATGGCACCATGACAAATGTTGAGGCGGGAAGGCCTTAGGTTGGCGAAATAATCAGTGTTCCACATGGTTTCACATCAAGGAGGTCCCACAAGTTGAATTTAATATTTTATCAACTTGAAAATATTTCTTGTGTGCTCCTGAGATGAGCACGGAGAGACTTCTCTTAACTTTTCCGCTTGGTTGGTACAACTGTTAAATGTAGTCTGCTGCTGTTGCCGTCTGCTTGGCTGTTCTGCTTGTTTGTATATGAGCTTTGAAGTATATTTCTGACGAAATTCACCTGATATCGATGAAAAGAACTTGTCACATGATAAAATGTTTGCCGAAGTCGATGTTTTTATTAGTAATTATACTTTAGTGGATCCAGAAGTTTACCAGTTATGGATTGATGGAAGTTCATGTGAGTAGAGGTTATGTGTGTTCAAACAATCTTTGGAACTATATCTTTCGCCTTGATGTTTCCTTTTATGATAACACTCTTCCGTCTCCATCTTTGCTGCAGCTTCGGAGGCTGTTAAAAGCCTCCAGGAGGGAGGTGTCGTCCATCAAACGGGAGCTACTTTGGAATTAGTCGCATCTGACGTATTGGATCACTATCGAACCTACAGTCTGCTAGAGAAGCTACTTCACAACCCACCCAAGCTCTCCGAACAACTTGCCTTTCAGATTGAACCCCAAACCCGTGGACTTCTTATCGAAAAGTCAGTGCAATTTCAGTTTTTAACTTCAAACTATCGGTTGATGAACCTTGATAAACAGATTGCCTTAAAAATTTTAGGTACTATGCTTTTGATGATGCCGTCATTCGTGAGCTGTTAGGAAAGAAATTATCTTCACGTCACCGGAAGGACTTAGATGAAGTTAGTGAGAAGACACATGTCCAGCTAAAGTCATGTCGGTTTGTATCAACCAATCCTGAAGGAGTAGTTACTACTGAATTCTCAATCTCCTTCCTTCTCAAAGCTATTGTTTATGATTTCAGGCGCCAGTTTGACAATGTCAAACGGGTGTTCAAAACTGTTGAAGAGATGCAAGGATCTGTTGTAAAGAATGTTTGCAAACTCTTTCTACTCCCAGAGCCTCTTGCAAGGTATTGATGGCATTGCATCCATTTTGTGCATTTCCTATCTTTTGTCTCTTTAACACCTTCCATTCCCTAGGCGTTATGGTGCTGTTGTGTTTTTGGCATCCATGAGGTTTGAAACTGGAAAACGAAAGCTTCAATACCTTACTTTTCCTGATTTTTGCCACTGCGCCCAGGCAATGATGTCTACTTGGACGTACAAAGATTCCCAACAGGACTATGATGATACTGATTTAGACAGAGAATTTTTGTTAGATATTCGAGAATTTAGGGTGTTGTTAGAGAAAGAAAAAGAACACAAACAGTAAGTGAAATGTCTCAGTTGCTTGTGATGTAGTGGCTTGAGGTTTGGTTATATCTTCCATTTGTTTTACAGCCTGGTGTGCAGTCGCCTTAAACCTCAACTTCTGGAACGCTCATATCAAGAGTTAGAATCGAACTTTAGATCCTATTCACGCTCTATTGTGGGCATAGCATGCAACCTTCATCGCACGAAAGATCTAAAGTAATATTTTATTCCAAAAATTCATCTTGTTCTTATTTTGCAATTTTCACTCGTCTTATGCTGACTTTTTGAATGTTGCAGGGACCTATTTGTGGATTTGGTTGAAAGGTGTATAGAACCATGGCGACAAGCTCACTGGTCTCACAGTGACCTGACTAACTTTTTGTCTGTCTACACAAGCAGTGCTCACGAGCTTGATGTATTTCAAGAAAATGATTTGAAGTCCCTCTGGGCTCGTTATATGAGTGTCATTACTACTTGCTTACTCCGTATGTTTCATACATAATCCTATTGTTTTGTGTTTTCCTTTTTAAAATTTGCTATATTTTATGTATGCTTTCTACAAGTTCTAGCTGTATAGATCACTTTACATTCTGTAACATTATATTTGTGATTTACTGTATTAATTAAATATGCAGAGAACAAGACATTGTTGAAATGTTTGTCTCAGGAATGAAGAATAAAACTACACAAATTTCTATCAATGCAGTATTTATTATTCCAGTGGATAACAACAATAAAGAGCAACATAAGCAAAGACTTTACAAAAACATAAATATATGGAATCATAATGGAATGATTTTTTAGTAAACAATTTCATGACCACATTTGCTTTTTTCTAGGCTAGTTTATGACTAAATCATGAATATAAAAACTAAGGTACACAAATAGAAGACACAAAGACCTAAGAAATCATAATAAATAGTCTATTTAAAAAACAAAACAAATCAAGTCTCATTGAAAGGGTTTGATGATGAATTATTTCAGTCTGCTTAGAAGAGTAACTCCAATAATCCAATAAATGAACACACAAGGTGGCTATCTACTTAGGGGCAATTAATCCAACGCACATGTCAAAAGTATTACCATCAGGCTGCACACTAAATACTTTGCCATTTTTTTCTCGAACTGACAGAAAACCAAACTCATCAAGTCCCTGGACAACTACTGGTTTCTCATTTCCTGATGTATCTCGCACCACAATTTCAGCACCACTGTAATAAGAACATGAAAAATTAGGTGACTGAAGAAAAGAAATACCTTTCATCTGAGTGTCAGCTGAAGATGATATACCTGTGTAGCCAGAATTTGTAATAAAGATCCAAAACTTGTTTATCTGAATTGTTTTGCATCAGCATTAAGATCCGCTCAAGTTCTGTGAAGAAAATGGCCAACCACTTTTCCAGTGAGAGAGCAGGTATCTTACTTCCACAGCGTGCATTGTGGAGCATTATCTGTTCATTTATGCAAGTTGTTGGATCATTGTTGTCAATGTTGACAGCAATCCCTGCAAATAACAAAGTGAAGATCAAAATTTTATTTTGAGCTGCTGTGTGTAAATTGAGAATATGAGACAAGTCTTACCTATGTTGCAAACCAAGCTAGATCCACGATTAGAACAACAGACAATAAGTCCACCAATTTTAATAAGCTCGTTTTCAACACCAAGATAAATATCATTAGGCCATTTCAGATGTAAATTTAGAGCCTTTTCAAGACCAGGGATGCTGGCAAGGGCAGAAACTGCTGCCGTGGCCACTACATGCTGAATGAGAGACGCTCTAAGGCCAAGAGGTGACGAGAGTGGAATCACTAAATGAATGGTCGTCATGGCACATCCTTCAGGGCTGATCCATACATTGCCCCCGCGTCCGCGCCCGTTTAGCTGCTGCCGTGGGATGACCACAAGGCCATGCCACAGCTGGTCATATCCTGTCACGTTCATGGAGCTGCCCATAATCTCCGAGTAGATAACCAAACGACCAAGCCATTCAGTTTGTAAATTCTGAAGAAAACAAAAAGGAAGAGATATTAAAAATATGTGACAGCCTGAGTGAAAAAGCGGCACTGCCTTATATTATTGTACTGAACTGACATCAAAGTACTCGACAGTAGAGAATGAAGGCGGACAAGAATGCAATAGAATGGGAAGAAGGCGAGCACTGGCTGGTGGAGGCTTCTCTCCTTTCCCACAGAACTGAAGTTCCAGGTCACCATTTTTTAAGGAGTTCCCATTCATTCGGCTCTTCACTGATGACATGAATTCTTGCTTCAACTGAAATAATATAAAATTTAATCACAAAACCTGACCTTTAAAAAAAATAAGAGCGGGGGTGGAGGACTTATGCTTGTTTTAAAACAAACCTCATGTCGACCAAGGAAGTACCCTTGTGTGTGACCCATACTTGAAGTTTTAGCACTGTCTCCACATTCCATATCAAGATGGGCTACAAGAAGGTCTCTCAGTATTTCTCGGCGAGCTCCATCACTCTGACGTAGCGTGGAGTATTTTCTCTCTTCACTTTCATATTGAGATGGGTCCTCCTCTAGATGTACCTAAGGAAAGATTATAAAATGTTAATTTTAATTTCGGTGTTTCAGAGTGAATGCTGAGGAAAAGAGAAGTGCTTTCAGTGCAACAAATTCAAGTTACAAAGTGGTAAGGTGAAAGTGCATCTCAAAGACCACTTAATAGAAATCATCCAAAGCTTGGCTAAGTACAAAGTGCAAATAAAAAATGAGCAATGTTCATGAAGGTCACAAAAAAGGCATATGATAGTAAAGATAAATGAGTTTGAAACCCAATGGTATTTCAAAAGCGAGTATGTAAAACATAACTACCATTCAACATTCATATTAGGAGATAACCCACATAATTTAGTTTGCTGAAATTTAATTGCCTAAAATAATATTGCAGAAGATAATTGAGACATGGCCCATACTCAGCAGCATTCAAACCGTTGAAAGCATAATTAAAATAATGAATCAAAACCAAGTACTGAATCTGTAAATAAATAACTCGCCATGTTTTTCAGCAATGGTTCAATTTGGTATGCCTCCCAAGTATTCACCTCCAGATGTACCTGTTACATGGGGATTTTGTTGAATGAAAATTGATAAAAGAGGATTTTTCAGCTGAATTTTTACAAGGCCTAATATGAGTGGCGTCAAAATAATTTTTGATCAAAAATTCTATAAACTATATTTGATGCAGCCCATTAGAAATCCGAGTGCGGTGTTTCAGTTGTCACCCACCGTTTAGCCCCCTTACACACGTACATCCATTAATAAGTGCTCATTTCCATGTGCAAGAAAAATCTAGTCCCTGGATAACATTTGCGATATACACTGTAACTGTTTTATGATTACTTTAGCCTGAATAAGCAATCTCTAATACAAAATATACAAATACAGTTAATCTATTCCCATCATACCAACAAGCATGCATGTATATTAACACATATCAAACTCTTGCCTGTGAGAAAACAATTTTTCCAGCTCCAGGTCCTGATCCAGTTGTTGCCAGCAAGAGGCTGGGAGTTTGCCATGTTTCCTCTGTTCCTAGTACTTGGACTTGCAATGTATGGAGCCGATTTTCCGAATCCAACACTTCTACTGATGTTGGTGTGGCAGGAGGCTTACCACTTCTGAGCAGAGTAGTTGAACAGAAACGTAAGAGATTTAAGAGAGAACACAATTATTGTGATGTATCTACCTCCACAACGGACAGAATAAAAGCACACAACACATATTCCCATGAAATATCACTTACCCAGTGTTCTTAGATGACGCAGACTTGGGATCACCAATGGGGAATCGTGTATGCACAGGAGATGCTTGATAGCAGAAAACATGGTGCATCAAAGGCACATTCTTCCATTTTGAATAGGAGAAACGAACGAGCTCATGTTGACGGACTTCAGCAGTTCGAAAAGTTGGCAAAACTAGATGAAGGAAGTCAGAGCAGAGACACAATATCCGACCCCCATTCAATATGTAGGAGAGAAATATTGGTGCCAATGAATCAGGTACACTTCCACAGATAACAAGCAACTTTGCTCCTTGCATCCAAGGGTTGGACAAAAGTGACTGCCTAGACATGCTGTAAATTACATACCTGAAAGAAAAAAATTCCAACTCTATGCAATATACTGCTATAAACAACATATGATGCCATCTTTAAGAATACTTACTTATGTCTATGCAAAGTGTTTTTAAGCACATTCATTACATTATCCTGCACTACCGTGCTGTCAGAATATATGAGAACATTGGGAGGTTTTGTAACAGTAGAAGAAATTGAAGACAAAGAGAGGGTTGAATAAGCTGCTGAGAAGCTTGACCGATTAGGTGATGGTTTTGGTGTCAAGGGCAAACAAGATAATGTTGCACTGAGTGAGTCTTGGGAACAAAATGAGTCAGTACTCCTTCCACTGCGAAATAAGGGAAAAGAATAAATAAAATGGTAACAAGGAAAAATATTTCACAAAAGAATGTCAGGTGAAGTACTACCCTGCAGATGCAACTCGTACACAGGGCTCTTCCAAATGGTTTATGTGTTTGGAAAAGCAGGAATCAGTCTGCAATTGAGATGCTTCATCTGGAAAGTCATCCGTTTCATCTTCGACATCCAAAATGTTCGACAAAGTATCGGAAGATCCAGCTATGATAAGGACATCCTTCTGGCCATCAATAGGAACCTTTCAACGAGACAAATTTCCAAAATTGATAAATTTTGACAACAATATATACTGCTGAAATATGCACACAGTTGAGCACTAGAACTTTACCTCACAACTGTTGAGTGCAGCATCTTGAGCAGCACAAGTAACATACTGCAACTGCTCCATGAAAGATGCACCACTTGCATCATCTTGTTCTTCCGAACCTGAAAAATTTTGGACCAACATATGTTTGAAACTTAATTAACTTGTCTCAAACTATAAAATATGTGGCTCTGAGGGAATGTGCAGAAGCAAGAAAGAAGGATGAGCAAACATACAGTAAGATGAATCAACTAAGCAATATAAGCACCCTCTCCTCTTGCCTTGTCTCAAACTACGTAAAACTAATAAATTATTTTACCTCTAAGACTCTGAGGATATTGATGAATTTTACAAGGTTCTCCTCGAACAACAACAGCTGCATCAAAGAAGAGACAAAATAATTTCATCAAATTTCATTTTTATATTTATTTGAAGGGGATCTCTCTCACTTACTCTGTACTCGAGTCATTTCAAGATTTGGGTGAAATGCAAGTCTATTGACCATCAAGCAGCCACATAAGTTCACCAAGTGCTCAACATCTGTTTCAAGAATTAATCCAAAAGTATCTGCTGCCAGCCATGCTTGGAAAATGCCAAACTGCTCCAACTAAATCACAAAAATAACATGAAGGTTACAGAGCATGAAGACTTTTTATTTTAAGTTTGTATTATGTGGGTTTCGTACCTGACAGCGGTGTACTTTACTTGTATCCAAAACAGCACGGTACTCCGCTTCAATCAGCAAGTGGACTCTGCACTCAGTCGATAATATAACAGAACTCTGCTGTGAGTATTCAATTGGAAAGAGAGTAGACTCTTTTGGAAAGGCAATCCATGGAGATAGATCAATGAATTGCTGATAACAGAAGAAAGCGAAAAAGGTTAATTTAGGCCTGACCAGTGCTTCATAATGAGAGCGGTTCATAATGGACAAGTTATCAGATTCGAACCTGAGGCAGAATGGAGCACACTCTCTTGGAATCATGATACCAGAGCAAATCAGCAACTCTTGCCTCATGTTCGTTTTCACATAAGGTTGAGCTGACACCACGTAAAAACTGACTCCATACCCCTGCAAAGACACATTTTTCTCTTCCAGTGATCCAGGGACTATAGTATGTAAAAACAAGACATGTATCTTCTGTTAAACTTACGAGTAGATCCACCCTGTTGAGCAGCAGAAGATACGTCTGGCTCCTGATAGAGAACTAAGCCAGCTCCATGTGTAAGAATCTCATTCACTTTGTTTCGGATGGAGCTCAGTCTCCATGCTTGGAACCATGTGGCAGCCATGTAGTATAGAGTAAGCAACATTCTGGAAATTCAGCAGCTTAAACCTGCAGTTGAAAAATGCATGTCAAAAGCATAAATTTAAATTGTTTCAAAGAACATTTCATCTTTTCCTTCAACAGATAGTTCATCTGGCTGGCAAGAACATTAAGTTTTGAAAGAAAACTCATTTAACTGCTTATGGACAATTTGAATAACTGAAAATGGAACTTTCTTGTAAAGCAAGACCAAATGAGGAATGGAAATTAATGTGGCAGGGCAGAGAAGGTCAGTTAACAATGTCAATTGGACATTGGACAGTGAAAAGGTTATTGCCCACCAAATTATATGAGACTTCACACAAAAGTATCAAGAAGTATACAAAGTTCACAGTTTTCAGAAAGAAAAACTTACGTGACTTCCAATAAAAAGGCTCAACTTCAACCTAATCATTTTCTTAAAAAAGAAATAAAACATATCGACCCATGAATGAAAAGCACATTTTGCACAGCCTCCTGCCTGCAGTGCAGACGACACTGACACTGTCCTTTCCAAAAGTAGTCCCTCATCCCTCATCGGCAAAGTTTATTCGAAATTTCTCTAAAATCAATTGATTGATCCCTAAAATGAAGTTTAATGGCATGAAAAAGAAAGTCTGGAGCGTAGAATGGTGTAAGCTGCAATGGTGCACTCTCCTTAAGTTTCTCGATCCTAGAGTAAAAAGAGGGTCTGGGGGGAAATAGTTGGGCAACCGGCGCGTCGTCTGCTTGTGGAGATGCAAAACCGGGAATGCTTCATGACCAAATCTGAGGTTGATTGTGATTTTTCTTACATCGCATGCTTATACGATAAATTATAATCAAAATGATTCCACATTTACTAAAACCTGCGGGACCGTGGAGGAACTAATTTCTGTTCTCCGTTCTCCAGCAGTATGCACATAGCCATATTCGCAGAACGTCTGAGAATAGTCGTCAGCCGCCGCTCGCTCTGTGCTTGTTGTGTTCTGCTGTGTTTCTGCTGTAATCGCGCAGTATGTAAGCGAGCACCAAACGAGAAAACGTGAACTGCAACCAGATTCTGACTCTTCTTTGACAGTTAATTTGGTCGAGGATATTCTGCTGAGCAATGCTGCCAGAGAATTGTGTTATGTGCAGCTTTGATACCGTGAGTCTTATCTAGCAATAGTCTTGGGTCTTCTTTCCTCTTATCTACGTTCATAGAAAACTGCATCGAAATTTATTGTCTCTCTTACTGTTCTGGTTTTGCCCGTCTGAAATTCCTCCGTTTTACTATAGTTCGTGTGGAGAAGTGGTACATTTTATATTTTTGTTGTGTCATTTCTAAATTCTTAACCTCAGCATAGTCTTTGTGTATGTACTTGGTCTTGGTTCTGGTTTCCTCCACAATGAGGAACATTACACCATTGGGAAAACTGCTTTCACTCTGCTTTCTCTTTTCTTTTTGTCAGAAATGCTATTGAAGCATTAGAAGAGGTGAACAAAACCATGGATCAAGCAAAATCTCACGGTAAGAGGAAAAACCATTTACATATGTGCTATCTGTGACTCATTCCCTTCTTTCCCTATCTTGTTTCTTGAAACTGCAGGGAGGTTCTGGTTGCAGGATCTAATCTATGGGGAAATTCATTTTTTTCCTTTACTGGCTAGTTGGGTTTTTACATTGTGGAGAAATATTAGAAATTCAAATTATCTGAAGCTTTGGTTTTCTATTACCACTATCCTCATTCTCACTAAGCATGTTGAATCCTATCTTTAGCCCATTTTTCCTATGTCTCTGGTGAAAGTGTGCGTGTTTATCTGTTGTGGGCATCAGGTGTGGATCATCTCTTCCTCATAAGACAGGAGTTTATCGGACTTCATGGTGCCTTGCTTTTGCTTGTACTGAACTGGTACTAACTAGCAATTAAATCACCACACTTAGTGTTGTGCTCTCTACTAATCCAATATGAGTGACCGGAAGCGTACTGCTAGCAAGGTGTCCCTAGGCATGCTGAAAGGTAAATTTCTGTTAAAATTGTTATGAATTTATTTCTTTAAAAAAATCGTAGAGTCTTGCTTTTAGTCTAACTAGGTGGACCCCAATATCACTCTTCACTCCTCTGTTCCTTTTCCTTCTGCATTTGGGCTATTTTGCATGTTCATGTCTTATGAGAAATTCTTGAATTTACCTGATCTGAAAGTAATGATGATAATAACTAACAGTAGCTGGAATTCATCAAATCTCATTAAAAGGAATGAAAGGAACTCTCCTCCCACTGTTGCTGCATTTACAACACTTATACCAACAGATAAATATCATATTTGCCAGCTCTAGATACACTTTAAATAAGTTCCCAATTAAAATTTAACATTGCCTTTTAATATTTTGATCCCATTTATTTTAGGCAAGCCTATGTCCACATCAGTGCCAACTTTCCGTTTCCATGCTGGTGAAGATGAGATAGAACAGATTTATCCTGAAATTGAAGAAGAAACGGTGGAGAAGGAAAACACTTCCCCTTCTAAAAATGGTATTTGTATTGAACCTTGCATCTCATTTTGACTTGCAATTGTTTTTCACTCATTTCTATTCTATTTCTATTTCTGTTACCACTTTCTGTTTCAGACACATTGTCAGTCACACCACCGACTGCACCACCCCGAAGTCCGAAGCATGGGCGCCTTCACCACAAAACAAATAGTGGAGTAGCTTCAGGGGACGTTTCACCTGTTCATACTAGTCTCAGCACTGGCAGTCTCAACAAGCGGTCAAGTAGTATGGATACTGGCATCGTTGATACTCCAGGTTCTTAACATCAATGTTTAACTCTAAAATTGTTTCAAGATAAATATTGTTTATATTTTGCGTAATTTTTTCAATTTTCTTAGGTCACAATAGTGGCTGGGGCCTATTCACAGATATCAGAGGAAAAATAAGTCGAACTGTAGAAGAAATCAAAAGCGATCGCCAACGTATGTGCTTTTCTATCATGAATTCAGGTTTCTTTGCTTTCTTGTGTTTTGAATTTTCTGCATTTTTTTTCTTTAAGGGGGAGAGGCTCCCAAGCTAAATCAATCTCTAAAGGAAAACACCAGTTTCAGTGATTCTGAAGAAGCCTCATCTTCAGAATCTAATCAAGTTCCAAGCAATAATTTATCAACATCAGATTCTGTATCACAACTCAGTGGGGTATCTGGACTATCAAGTTTATCTACCACCCCAACAACTCCCTCTACCATGCCTATTGGTCAGAAAAATAACCAAAGTAGTGGAAAATGGCATTACAAGTTTCTTGGAGAACGGAACAATGATGAAGAGAAACCTAAAACTTCGCGTCCGACTACACCAGTTAAATCCATGGAGGATAAAGGTGCTGCAAAGTCTAGTCGAGCAGGTAAGGATAAAAAAAAATTGTGAAATAAATCAAAAGTTTGGCAGGATTTTTATTTTATATTTAACATTGCAGGTTCTGTGCCCTTGGTTCATGAGGGCTCCTCTATTTCTCCACAAAAGCGTGCCACCTCATTAAGATCCCGCTTCAGACCCAAAATGGCTGAACTTCGAAATAGAAGGAAGAAAGTTAGTGTAGACTCCCGGTCTAATTCTTCTTTGAGCAGGTATTTCATTGTGTTGCAGTTTGATTGTTATAATACTTTGGAGGGGCGGAAAAAGTTTTGTCTTATATCAGCTTCTATATTTTTCCAAGTGCTCTGTATGCAGCGGATGGTGATGAAACTGATGATGATGTTGAGTCTGGAGTGGAGGCTCTGGAGGAACCTTGGGAAGATGCCAGCAGCATTCCTCGCTCTTCATCAGCCCCTCTTGGAACAACTCTGAGCAATATGCATCAAGGGCAAGAACAAATACAAGAACTCAGCTTCAAATGCATTCTTTTCAATCACAAGTTTGTTTGCCTTTTGATTTTGAATTTGACTTAATAAGAACAATGTTCCTCACAAGTATAACTCAATTTACCCTTCTCTCTCTTGTAGATTTGTCATCCTACTTGCTTGCCTACTTGGTGTAGAATGGACCATTTCACTTTCATCAGTTTTTGTTCATATATTGGTTGGCATTCTGCTGGTCCTTTCAGTCCAGGAAGAAAAACAGACACTTCTTACTCCAGGACCTGGGATTGCTGGCATGCACATGGGCAATAAGCCTTTTGAAATTCCTGACTACCGTTCTTTACCAGTGCTTCAGGTTCCTGCGGCAAAAGAAATATTTCCTACTGATAGTTTCCAGGTGAAATACTTTTCAAATCAGCTATAGTATCATTTATTTAATAAAATACTTTGTTTGAGAATTGTCAGTAAGATACCTTGGTATTGTATTTCCAGGGGTGGATGAATGAGCTGAATGGTACTTATGACACAAAGTCTTACCACATCAGCATGACTGAATCCGTTCATGTGAGATTGGATGGTTCTTGCTTGGCACTGTCTCACACAAGAACTAAAGTATCAAAACGAGCAATGTGGAATGAAGCCCCAATCAGAAGTGTGCAGTTCACAGATGAGCGTATATTTGATATTAGGGGGTGGCAGGTCAAACTCTTACCTGAAGGTATTACAAGAAGAAGGTATGTGTCTGAGAAATAATGAGTGAGGTTTTAAGTGTTATTGCCCCAAATGTTTTTTGACCTTTTTGAATTTTTACAGACAATGGAGCAAGAAGTACCCAATCTGCCTAATTAAGTGTGATGAATGTGACACTCTTAATCAAGATGATCTAAGTTTTAGTGGAGAGGAACAGAACCTTGTGAAGAAGGATGAGAAAGATTCACGACAAACTCGCTCAAGTTCATGCCTGACCACAGCCAAATTTGCAAAAGGTTCTAACTCCACCGATTCACTTGAGGTTCTACTCCTTTCAGCAGAACCTCAGAAAGAGACCTCCAAGTCTGAAAAGAAATCTCATAAATCAGGAAACCTGGAGGATACTGACAAAAGCTATGAGGATAATAAAGCATCAAAAGGGAAATCAGGTACGTGCAATGTCTGCCAAGTGTATGAGCTAATCATTTTTCTGGCTTAATTTTATGATGTATTTTTTCATAGATCCTACTGAGAAAGACATTAGTGATATTGACGATGAGTCATTTTGTGTCATCAGTTCAGATATGACTTCACAAAACTGCCTTTACCTATTTGCCCGAGCAGATAGAGAAAAAGAGGAATGGTATGTTTGGCTGACTGACTTGCACCAACATTGATCTGCATTTCAAAGTACTGTATTCATTTTGAGAATCCTCTTTGTTTTCTAGGTACAGAAGATTAGCTGAAGCTGTCAGAGAAAATGAAATTCATTCTCTCCCTGTTACACCTCAGAGAAGTAATGCTCCTACTCCAACTATAGGAGGAGAGCTACCACAGCTTACACCGGAGGAGGCTTTGGTGACCATGGGGGAGTATATGCGCTACATGCAGCAACTCTATCTTGAGGTGAGATTGATTATGTTACATGTAATTTCATATTTCAGTAAACAGATTTAAAAATTTGCATAATAATATTTTTTTAGCATAAGATGTATCCTCCACGCAATAAGCACCACCCATCAGTTAAAGAAGATAAAAAGGCTAAAGAAAAGGACAAGGACAAAGAAAAAGAAAAGGATAAGGACAGAGAAAAGGACAAGGAGAAGGATAAGGATCATGATAGGGATCACATAGAATCAATGATTGAGGAAGAGGAACAGAAAGCTGTGATACATGGTTTACCAATGTCATGGCTTAATGCTATTATTGGCAGGATTTGTTTCGATCTTTTGCGTAGTCCCTTATGGCGGGGAAGAATTCATCAAAGGTTGCAGAAGAAATTAAGTACCCTTAAGGTAAATACAATTCATTAAATATTAATTTTATTTGTATCATCCACTATTTACTATTGATTGTCATGTTTCCAGTTACCTTACTTCATGGAAGCACTCACCATCACAGAATTGGACTTGGGAAACACTGTCCCTGTGTTCCATAGAGCTTCTCAGCCCTCTTTGGATGTTCGTGGGCTGTGGGTGGAACTAGATATGACATACCAAGGGAACTTCCGAATGACCATTGAGTCTAAGCTTAATCTAATGAAACTGAAGCGCAGTACTCCAGAAGACAATATTTCACTGGTTTCTTCGTCTTCATCTTCAATAAATCTACCTGAGGTGTATCCGATTCTTGCTACATCTGAGATTTCATCAAGGTACATTCAATCCCAAAATGTGATTAATACAGATACCACTTGTAAATTAAATCTTTAATTAAATTTCTTTTCTTTTTACCCTTTCTATCTTCTTTAGCCGGTCTCCTGTATTTGATAGTGATTTGGACGACTCGGCAGAATCTTCTTCTGATGATGACACAAGTAGCATTAATACTGAAGATGGGTAAGCAACAAAGCAACTCCCCCTCTCTCCACTTTTTTTGTGCAAATAATGCAACAATTACTTTTTTTTCTCAGGTCACACCGCCCATCTGCCAACGCATCAAGCAAAAAGGCTGGCAAAAAAATATTACGAATGGTTGACAGAATTGCTAATTCCAAGTACTTCCAACAAGCTACTGAAATGAAATACATAAAGAAGGCAATGGAAGGTGTCTCAAACACTCGTATTATGTTGTCAGTTGAACTGAAAGGATTGGTTGGGACATTGGCAGTCAATCTTCCACCTCCACCATCAGATAGACTTTGGTTAGTTGTGTTTTAACCCCAAGCCTAAATTTAAAAAATCTGAGTAGTTTTCTTTAAAAATTATTAATTTTGTTTTGATTTTTACAGGTATGGCTTTCATGGGAATCCAAAGCTATGGCTATCAGCCCATCCAACTCTTGGTGAGCGTCAGGTTAACTTTTATCATATTTCCAACTGGATTGAGCAGAAACTGTGTCAAGAGTTTCAGGTTGGTATTGACATCATGCTTCTTCTCTTTTCACCATGAAGCAGTGTTTGTAAATCACCTTACTCATGTTTCTAATTTTTAATTTAATTTTCAGAAAATATTGGTGTTACCAAATATGGATGACATTGTTATACCTGTCATGAATCCGCACTTGCCAGTTTAAGGAAAGTCGCTATTATTTCTTTCTCTAAAATTTATTTTATTTTATGTTCCATCCCCCCCCCTCTAGTGTAAACTCAGGATCAGTAAGGATATTTATCCTGGCTTAACTGGAGTGCAACTGGAGTCATGCTTTGGCTTAAACCATAGACTCAGTTTGTAAGTTACTCATCATGAATCTTGCTATGCCTGTTACAAATTTGTCTCATACTTCTGTCCAATACTGACATATCTGTTTAAGACAAAAAATATGTCATCCCTGCCTAATAATAAATAGAATCAAAATTATGTTGTGATGTATGAAACTGTTGTGGCTTCTCATTTGGGAATAATTTTGTCACCGAAGGTTTTTGTTTCAAATCCCAACTTGAATGGTGCATCATTTTACTTGGGCCCTGAATTAAAATTCATTTGTCTCAGTACTTAACTCTTCCTCAATGGCTTATCTAGCAACAAGCCTGTGATGATTTTCCAGTGATCATGTGGAACTTGCCACAGAAGAGCAGTTGTCTCGTATCCTGTGATTTTTTTAATGGTAGATGTGATTTAGCTTGTAGACCTTATTTAAATTGTTTGAACTCCTTTTTGTTACTGTTGCAATGAAAATACGAATCAGCTTCCTAAGCTCAAACAAATTAACTTACAATCTTGGTTTTACCTCCGATTACTTTTGTTTGTCCAGGCTTACAAGTCTCCAAAAACTTTTTCTGTGATACTTCAGTAACCAGTTACAGTATCGTGCTTCCTGGATGTTTCATTTTCATACTTGAGGGTGTCACTAACTAATGTGTTGTGTTGTTTGTTGCAATTGACTAATCAAATATTTTGAACTGTTATGTGTTTTGTTTTCTTTGCCAAATTGAATTGGCATCTTGTTTCTCTATTTTATGTGATCAATGTATTAATGCGTAGTATGTGAATTGTGAAAATTGGGTTTTCTTGGACTCTTAATTAAGAAAGAGATTTTGTATTTGTTCTTTGATAGATTTATCTACAGTTGGTTTCATTTTGATGATGAAGCTGGCATATGGTATATTACATTGGGCTAGAACCTAATGTGGCTAGGTAACTTAAGCTGTGTATTTTACATGCTTCATTTAAATCTTGATTTTTTGAAGATATTTTTCTATTGGATAATAATTTATTGCTGTGGTTTGTTATTATTGGGGGAGATTTAATTATTTTAATATCAGTATTCTGTCCAGGAAATTTTTTATTTTCAATAGTATTTGGTGACCTTAGAATGCAAAATATTTTCCAGTTACCTTATTCGACTTCTTTGAAGTATTGAGTTCAGTCCTCAGAAAAATTCGGTTTATAGTTTTCTATTGTGAGTATTACTAGTGGGTCCCCTCTTTAAACATATTTCCTGTTGTTCAGATTTGGGCAGGATTTTGTATTATTGTGCCTGGATCTTGAATAAGAACATCACCAATAACTTCTTTAAGACACATTAGGAAGTCCAAGTTCAAAGACATTCATTTTTATTTGGTGTTTTTTTTTCACATACTTTAAGTTTAATGTGATGTTGTTTGTTTCTTTCTTAACTTTTTCGTTTGTGTGTGTGTGTGTTAGCAGTGTGTACAAGGCCATAGCCAGCTACACATGTTGAAGTAATTTCTGGGTATTAAATAACTAACTTAGTTTGATGTCAATGTCTTTCGTGTAGAGCAGTTCTAGAGTCCTAGAGAATAACCAATGTGTAGCTCTGCTAAAGGGTTGTTTCGTGTGAAAAATGTCAGAAATGCTACTAATTTTACTTTGAGTTCACTTAACTTCAAGACTTGTTTATTTTATTCATTATCTTTTCTCTACATTGACAAATGGTTTGGAGTATGTTGTCTTCTTCTCTATATCTTTCTTTTGTAGAAGACCTCACTGATTGTTTTAGTGTTACTGCGACTGACTTGTCTGCCTTTCCATTATTTCTATTGTATGTGGAGCTATATGATATGTGCATTATTTAGAAAGCCTATTACATGTAACTTCTTGTGACACAAATTCAACACTTACCTTTCTATGCTTAAAATGGTGTCTGTGCTATTAATGTTCATGCTTAATAGTTGGATGTTGCTTCAAACAGGGAATAATCAACCTTAAAAATCATCTTCCTGTGGAATAGAGAGATCAGAATTAGGACCTTATTGTATTTTATTTATCCCTCCTTTTTTTAATTTTTCAAATAAGACTGTGAAGAATTTGATTTTGTGAAATTCTGATCTCTTGCATTGAGGACTAGTATCTTTGAAATGTGAATCAGAGGCTATGGGATCAAATTTAAATTAGCCCTTTAGCCAAAGGGAGGGAGCTTAGTGTTGTGTGTACTTTTTAGAACGGGTCTCAATTAAGTCTGCCAATCATCAGATTGTTTTGGGCCTTTTCATATTCAAAATAGTTGTGATGTGTCTTGGTGATGGGCAAACTACAAATTAGTATCTTAAAACAATATTAGGGACTCTCAGATGTCTTTCTTCTAGTCAGTTCAGCTTAGTACCACATTTACCTGTGCTTCCTCACCCTTTGTATGAAAATCAATTGGTATTCCATCAATTGTTAAGAAATAACGTACCTTGTTGTATTGTTTATTTATCTTTTATTGCCTTCTGGCCAAGCCTCCTCTTATGTCCATGACCAGATTGCTGTCTTGCCACTATTTTGTGATATTCTGTTTTCTGTTTCCCCCCTTTTTTTAGCGACTATAACTTGTCTGTTGGTGTTGAAAAGTGTAGAGAACGAGTTCCAAAGATGAAAATAAATGTGGTTTTCAGTGTGATAAAGGGTTGCAGTTAATTCTCCCTTTTCAAGCAACACACATCTTCTAGTGTCGGCCCGAACCGCCGAGGTGCGTACCCAGAGGGGGGTCACTCAGGTCATAGTCTTATGGGTCGAGCGTGTACGTGCGTAAAAGTGGCTCGGAACGCAGGGGAAGCGGCAGCTGTGATAAAGGATCAAGGTTCGATCCCCAGGTGTGGCTGTATGCTGCATTCTTGCTTTGCATGTCTTCCCTGTGACGAGCCAAGAGGGTAGTCTACCTTCCCGGCGGGGTGTATCCATCCCACAAAAAATGACTTTCCCGTGAAGATAGTTCACTTCTGGTGCGGTGGACGAAGGGTTGCCTACCTTTCCGGCGCTCGCGAAAATACTTTATGCTCTGAACGGAAATTCCGACACCACACCGCACCGCCACGAGGATTCTATACCACGAGGGAGGGCTCGTCCCCAAAGCGGGTTTCGGCCACATTCTTTGAGAGGCCGCACCAAAAACAACTACAACACAGCAGCCGCCACACCGGACTTTCGTACGACAGAATGGAATCATGTTAATGGACACCCCCAGCCCCATCGGCCCCATCCAGGCAGGCGATTCGGACGTGAGTGGAGTACGCGACGCGGCGACGCGGCCGCCCGGAATGCCTTTCCCGGCAGAAAAAGTGCGGGGCCGACTTTCGGCGGGACGGCAGGGCACGGCAGCCCCCTTTGTGCGCCGGGCGCGTCCGCGCAGGGCCGTCGTCTTGCCGGTCTTGCCCGTGCGCGGTCGCGGTGGCGGCGGACATGACGTCCCTTATTGGAGCGACGGTGCCGGTTTCATTCCATATCGCGGGCTTCGATCTTCGATCTCCCGCGAGTGCGCCGTGCAGCAGACAAAACAAAATCGGAAAACGAGGCGCAAATGGGTTCGAAATTCTAGAGAACGAATCTTTGGTTGGTGGGCGATCGACCTGATTCGGTGGGCTGCTGCTGCCGCCGTGCCGTGCCCGCTGACCAGCGCGAGCACCAGCCCGTCCAGCTCGTTACAACCAAAATCAATTTGCGGCGTGGACCCAAAGCGCGGCCTGTGCAGAAGGCCTGCCCGCACGGGCGTATGGCGTGGTCGTCGCCCCGGTACCCCGGTAGCCCGGGGCGCGGCCTGGGGCAGTACGGCGAGGCAGGCAGCCGGGTTGCCAATGCCCTTTGCTTGCACGGACGCTTGGGCCCTACACCTCTCCGCCGCCCCGCCCCGCTCGCCGAGACTGAGACGCTCTCGCTCAGCTCCCGCCAGTAAACCAGTAAACGAGTCATAAAGGCCAAAGGCGGCCGGGCTGCCGCGGGCTAGGGGTGGTCCCTAAACCAGTACGACACCGCCGGGGGCAGCCGACGGCAGCCCCCCAAGTTCGGGTGCTGTGGCCCGCAGCGCCCAGCAGCGACCGTCGCCCCGTTACGGCCATTGGAACATCGAAACGGACGCCCTGTTCCAAATTATACGGACCGCCCAAACCTGGCCAATAATGATTTTCCTGCGCGCCGCATGGTGGTGATGGCGACGCCAATCCGTTACCACCGCCACGTGCCCCCGTGTCCGACGAGCAGTACTACGTACACTGTAACCCACGCGCCAGCAACACGGCCGGCCGGCCCGGCAGGACGCCGTGCTGGGCAGGCTGTCCCGCACGACACGTGCGCGCGCGCGCTGCAGAGGCTGCCTATCCTGGCCCCTGCACTGCGTAGCACTGCGCAGTGCAGGCAGGCCTTATTCGCCTTCGTCTTTCCAGCAAATGCTGACCTGGACGACGCTGTAGGACTAGGGGGTGGACGGGTGCGTAGCAGACAGGCCCTTTCTCTTCCGAGGAACTGCTGCGGCACTGTGTCTTTGGTGTCTTTTTGTGCGTCCAGCAGGGCCCGGCACAAGCCCGGCACAAGCCTAACACCGCCTCGCACCTCTCAAGCCCCCTTCCCTCCCCCTCCCCTCCCCCTGCCACGGGACGGGACGGCGACGAGGACGAGATGCAGGATGATAGCACGCGAGGTGAGGCGGGGCGAACGGCTGAGCGTCGAGATCCTTTACGACTGTCCGCTTGCCCGCACCCCATCCACACTGGTAAAAAAAAGGAATCCGAATTCACCAAATGCAGGATGGGAGTAACAAGGAAAACATTGAAACTCATATTAATATTTTTTACTATATCAATTCTTAAACAATTTATCACAATCAACAAAATCAACAACATATCAGCGATTTTCAACAGGATCGCACTTATTATTTGTAACACAGTAAAAGCGAACGTGCTTTCAGAACATAAAGAATCGTCAAAATTTGTAATGAACAAATCAGGGTTTGCAGATGTAAAGGCTACCCTACTACTACAAACAACAGTCGAAAAATTGTTCATATAATTTTCAAGACTTATACCTCTATTGCAAATTTGAGATCCATTCATAAAATTACATTCAACCTCCATAGCCATTAAATAAATGTACACCACAAGTGCCCACTATGTACAATAATTTATCACTAAGCTAACTTTAAACATGGCACATTTCCCTCAAAGAGAGAACATAAAAATCTGATGAGAGTGACAACACAGTTGCCGCATCTCTGCACCTAACAAATTATTTTAAATTACAGGGAAGTTCTCCACAAAATTGCTTAATGCAACAAAGTTAGAAATTAACAGAAAGAGAAGAAGAAAACCCAACTGTTGATTCGCAACAGAATGGATAGATGGCACATACAGAAGACCCATTACTACAAATTTTAATGTTAAGGAGCATCTGTGAATCCTATGGGACAAAGCACTTTATAAATAAATACAGCAGGTGCTTTAAAAAATACTTTGAAATTTTTTAAAATTTTATAAACAAGAGCAACTATGAAAGTTACCTGTATTTAAAAAAAAAGATAGCTTAGGCAAAACTTTCAGCATCAGCAAACTATATGTGGCACCATGAATTCACAAACTAACAGAATTCTTTTTCTTTGTTAAGAACTAAATATTAATTGAAGTTAGTCACATACATTTGATTTCTTGGTCTGAAAGATGTGCATTTGAACAAGAACATTAATTTTTAGTGTCACATTCATTAGTTACGGTAACAACTACAGATACCACAATCTGGTAAATGTCGTCCCAGAAAGACCTACACACAAATATTTCTACAGGCACTTGTCAATAAAAATTGTACAATATGTAAATTTTAATAGGGCGTTGGAGGATGAGCTTAGTTACAATTTACACAACAAATTAGTTAAATAAACATCTGTACATGACAGTTCTTAAACAATTTACAGCAATTGAATTGGCTTCTGTACTGAACACACTTTAGTTAAAAAGTCACCACAGCATTATATTCCTAAAACTTAACAAGAGTTTATCACGAACATTTCTGCACAAAAGAGTAAAGATGTAAATTGTATTTTTGCTCCTAGATGAAAACACTGACGATTTCCAAAGGCATTTTGATGCCAAGTAAGAGTCCAGCCAGCACAAAAGCCAAAGTATCACAGAAGACCAACTGTCACAATAATAAAATTAATGTACATCTATTACTACAATTACAAAACTATGTTGTGGTGTACAGCGTTAACAATAAACTGTTGTACACCTCTCTCACTTTATGTCTTCCGATGCAGATTCAACACCAATGCAAGGTATCTTCTGCAATACAGTACAACAGAGCTCTGTTTGTTTTCCTGAAGAAAAGTAAAAATAATAATAGATTGCTTTTACACAACATTTTTTAATACACAAGGCAAATAGTGAAAAGGGAGGGAGGGAGGGAGAGAGATACAGCAACAAGGCATCAATCAGTCTGGAGTTCGGCTGGTTGCAGAGACCAGTGGGGAAGTCCTCAAAGAGTTTGCTGAGGGTGGCTGAGGGTAGCTGGGGGTTGGCTGGAGGGGTTTCCACGCCGCAGTGCACTGACTAGTGGCAAGGACTAGGGCGGCTCGGAGTCGCAGGCTCTAGGGTGCTGCCGTGCTGCCGCCATGTTGAGAGTGGGCGCGGTGGCACCATGGTGGCACCAGGACGGCCTCCCCTCGGCCGGCGCGGCAAGGCCAGGCAAGGCTAGCTCCGCAGCACGCAGTGCGCGCTGCCCTGAGCGTTCACGTCGCTCACCACCTGCACCCAGTTGTCCAGGCTGGCGGCGCACGTGAGCGCGAGCTGGCTCAGCTTCCGCCTGGCCATGAAGACGTACTCGCCGGGGCCGGGCTTGGCGCCGCAGTGCAGCGGCATCCTCAGCGTGGCGGACTCGTCGCCGTGCACCCACACGGCCTCGTCCTCGTCCAGGCCGTTGGAGGCCGCGTCCGGCCCGGGCCCCAGCCCCGGCCCCGCGCCCTCCACGCCGGCCTCGGCGAGCCGCCGCAGCACCCGGGTCAGCTTCACGTTCACCCGGGACTCCTCGAGGTCCTCGTCGTTCTCCACGGTGCGGATGTAGCCACGAGCAACTGCAACAAAACAAAAAGCGGGTTAGATTTTCGCCTCCGCCGCAGCAGCCGCAGCAGCCGCAGTGACATGTTCCGGGAGTGCCGTCGAACAAGCCCTCCCCTCGCGTGTTGCACGACTGACAATGCAGTGACCTCCATACGCCGGCGGGGCGGGGTGGAGTGGGGCGGGGCGTCTCATAACCGGAGCAGATCGCCCCGGAGGACCTGCAGGCCCCACAGGCCCTGGAGCAGAGGACTGCAAGGGACGAGGGAGCGCTGCAGTGAGCCAGCAAAACGAGTTCCAGCGAGAGAGTCAGTCCAGTCCGATTCTCTTTCCACCGTTTCTTTTTTTCTCGTTTTCGTTTCCCATCTTTCTCGTTTTGCAGCCATGCGGCGTCGCGCCGTGCAGGGCGAGGCGAGGCGAGGCGTGGCGTGTGCATCGCAGGGATCGCACTGCTGTGCCATCGCATCCCGTTACCAAATCAGGGAGAGCAGGGCGACGCCCCGCGCCGTGCGGCGTCCGCAGCGTGGCCTCGGCGTGGTGCAGGCCTAGTGCAGGCCTGGTGCAGGCCCTCGACGGCCACGGCGGCGGCGCGTGCGACGGGGCAGATAACAGCGCGTGCTCCGGAGGGGCGTTCTGGCCGTGCCGGGCGTTCGGGACGCCCCGCCAGCAGCGCGGTACGCCCTGCCGCCTCGCCTTGCCACCACGCCCGCCTCCGGGCCTCCGGGTGCTTCGATCCGGCTCCATTAAAACCCGGTCCGTCCGGCGTGTCCGGCCGATAGCCACCAGCCGCCCCACGCCGGGGCCACGCCGGGCCCCACGCCCCCAGCTCGTGCCCGAAATAAAGTACTGCAAAAAGAAGACGACCCGCCGTAACAAGCCGACCGCCCCGTTCCGCCCCGCCCCGGCCCGGCCGGCGCGACGCGTTGCTCCTGCATTCTAAGGGGGCCTCGGCTCGGCAGCCTCGGTCCGGCCGGCGGCACTTGCGGCACTCCGGGCAGCGCGCCGACACCTCTTAATTAAAAGCGCCTAATTTGGAGGCAGTGCCCCTGTCCCGCGCCACGCCACGCCACGCCGCGCCACGCCGCGCCCCTCCGGCCGCGTCTCGCGCCTTGGGGCGGATTTCCAAAATCCGGAGAGGCTTTGCCAAGCCAAGTACCCCGCCCTCCAAGCGGCAACAAAACGAAATACAGCAAAATAAAATGACGCGCGCCGAGACCAGAGGAGAGAGAGAGAGAGAGAGAGAGAGAGAGAGAGAGAGAGAGAGAGAGAGAGAGAGAGAGAGAGAGAGGAGGAAGAAGATCCTGTCCCGTCGCGCAGCCTCGCGCAGCGTGTTGATGCAAATGAGTTGCGGGGACACGCAGCACGCAGCAGGCAGCAGGCAGGCCGGGGCGCCGCCGAGACAGAAGACATGCCGGACGCCCCGTGTGGTGCCTTATCGAACGCACGTGCAGCCACAAGTGTTCCCGGGGCGCGGGCCTCGGACACGGCCTCGGACACGGCCTCGGACACGGCCTCGGACACGGCCTCGGACACGCGTGCACAACACGAGGCGTCCATTAGGCCGCCGGGTCGCGGCCTCGCCGCGTCCAGTCGTCGTCCACCTTTCGGGGACTCGAACCGAACCCTCCGCCGCGGCCGTCGACGTGCTGTTGCGTGTCCGCGGCCACGCCAGCCCCAGCCTGCCGCCACGCCATCGCCACCAGGCCCTTTGAATTGCAAAGCCACTGCACTGCCGCCTCGCGGGCCGCAGGGGCCGCAGGGCGGGCACGTTTGCTTTGCGCTCTGTGACTCCTGCGTCGCGCAGTAGTTGCAATGCGCTGCAATGCGCAAGGAAGGAGGCTCCGCACTGCAAGGCTCCGCCGCGACGCGTAAAGGATGATTCGCTCCTTATTCAAAATGGCTCCGCGCTCGTAAAGCAGCAGCCCGCCCCGCCCCACCTGCACTTGCATTAGCATCTAAGGGGCCAAACAATGCAACAGGTGAGCGCTGCGGCGCTGCAAGCAGTGCACGGGGCTGGCTGGCTGCAGCGGGGGCCCCGACAGACTGGCTCCGAACAGTGCTTCGTCGCTCTGACTCTCTCGCGCCACGGAACGCCGGAACGCCCCACGAGTGCGAGAGAGACAGAGCGAGGAAAGCCCCGCACGGAATCGGCCTGCTGCCGCGGCTGCCGCGGGGCGTGGGGACAAAGCCGCGGACTCGCGGGGAAAGAGAAAGAGAGAGAGAGAAACGCTGCCGATTCCTCATTAATTGACATTTAAAAGGCAGTCCGTGCGACGACGCGGCGACGCGCCGGCGGGAATGTTGGGGTGTTCTATCCTAACGGAGAGCCCAATGCCTTGCGGGTTCGTCGTGTTGGGGCCAGTGTGGGGCCAGTGTGGGGCCAGTGTGGGGCCAGTGTGGGGCCAGTGTGGGGCCAGTGTGGGGCCAGTGTGGGGCCCCACCGGGCCGGCCTCATGTGCGGTTGGCCGCGCTGCGGTGCTGCGGTGAGCGAGAACGTGTGTGTGTGTACAAACTGTACAAACGCAAGAGGCGCGGCTGCGGCTAGGAAGCCTGCCGCCCTGCCGCCGCTGCCCGCTTCCAGGCTTCCAGTAAAGATCCAGCAGGAGACCCGACCCGTCCAAGCCATCCGGCAGGCCGCAGGACGACGCCAGGAGTCCAAGGACCAGTCCAGGGGGAAGCCTTATCACTCTAGGAGCGTTTTATGTTTTTATTGGAAGGCGGTGGAAGGCCAGGCCGGTGCCTTGCCGGTAATGGCCTCGCTGAGGTGTGGACAGACGCGGCCCGTGGACGCGGCAGCCTCGGCCTGCCCTGCCCAAATAGAAAGCGGAGACCGGTTGGCGGCGGCGGCAGCGCAGCTTGCACTTGTGCCCTTCGCGGCACCACGCGCCGAGCAAAAGCTACTGGCAGGAAAAATAAAAGGCTGAGGCGAGTTGAACCCGACCCCTGCTGGGTGAGTGCACCACCCTTGTAGGGCTACGGCACTGCGCTGCGCACTGCACGCATCAAAGCCCGTCCTGCCCGCCCATGCTCGATTCAGATGAGTTCATAATACACCGCGGGCGAGAATAATATGCAAAGATGCACTGCCCACTGCGCGGCCCAGCCTCCAGCCTCCCGCCGCTCGTTTGCATAATCGAATTTGATAAAAATTAGCGGGCCGGGCCGCCCCGTCCCCTCCCCGCCCCGGGTGCCCCTCGCCCCTCGCCTCGAGGTACGAGGCCAATCAGGCGACGGCTTGCCGTCTTGCCGTTCGGCCGCTCGCTGCTGGCTATAATGATACTCACCGAGATCGCTGGTGCAGTAGGCTCGCGCCATCTCGTCGGACGTGCACGGTCGGCAGTCTGGAGGCAAACGGAGTCAAAATTAGAATGAGGCCCGTCCTGGTTTCGGGGTGCGCCTCTGAGAAGGCGACGCGGGCGACAGACTCACCTTGCGAATCGTCGAACTTGGCGCCGCGGGGCAGCAGCTCCAGGTCGTACTCCAGGCCGAACTCCTCGTGGGGCTCGCCGACGCCGGGGGCGCCCAGCTCGCTGGCCTCGACGTACAGGGCGGCCTGGCCGTGGCGCGAGTAGAAGCACCTGACGGGCACGGGCGCCACCAGCTGCCCCTCCACGTCGCCGTCGAGCTGGCGGCGCGCGCGGCCGCCGGGGCCGCCCGGGTACAGCGGCGCCAGCGACCGCGGGCCCTCCAGGAACAGGCGCGCGCCGCTGCCCCGCGTCCGCACGCACGCGCGGAAGTCGCGGCCCGCCGCGCCCACGCGCAGCAGCACGCGCAGCGCGCCCCGCGGCCACCGCCACGACAGCGCCCCCGCCGAGCAGCGCAGGTACACTGGCGTCACGCCCCTGCCGGCCGTGGACACTCCGCTGCAACAGAAACACAGACAGGGTTAGCCAAACATCGTCCGGGCTCGTTAGCATACGGCCGCGTGCGTGCACACTGTGGCGCGCGGCGTGCGCTGCCTCCGTGTCGTTCGCGCCGCCCTGCCCGGCTCCCCGTCCCGGTCGCAGTCGCCTTCTTTTACTGCCGCTGCAAGTCATCCCGGTCCTGCGGTCAGCCGGTTTGGCTGATTGGCTGGCCGTCAAACGCATGACGCGCAGGCGGGGCTGGCAGGCTGGCAGGCAGCACCGAACGAGAAAACTGTAGTGGCCCGAGGTGACAGGGCAGTGCATCAAGGGGCAGGCAGGCAGGCAGGCCGTCAAGGCGGCCATCCAGGACGACGCGTCATTACCCCGTGATCGCACCCACCAAAATCCATGCATAATTTGGGCCAGCAGTGCGTGATTTATAGCACTGGCGGGAGGAAAAAATGCAGCGCGCCGACCGGGAGTCGAAGCCGAGTCGAGTAGTCGAACCCACACGAGGCTTTGATCGGGTCAGGGCTGGGCTTGGCTGGGCAGCACCGCCACTGCCTCCAGGGCCTCGTGCCCGCACTGCATGCCGCGCTGCATGCCGCATGAGCATGGCCGTCGCCCTAATCGAGCACGGAGGAGCAGAGGGCTGCTTCCGGGGAGTGCTTTCGTCGCTCTGTCTCACTCGCACTCAGTGGGCGCCGTGTGCGTGTGCGAGAGAGGCAGGGCGACGAGAGGTCATTTCGGAAGCAGCCCACTGGCCAGCCTGTCCGGCGGCGCGCGTCGCTGCGCTGAGCGGTGTGCTGGACAGTCCGGAGGACACCGTCCGCCGAGACAGATTGCATCTTGATCCTTCCGGACGATATCATTTCGGAAACACATTCCTGGCCGGCGATGAGATATAATTGGAAAATAATGCAGTCCGGCCGAGGACAATAGAGGGAAACAACAAAAGAATATACGGAGCGGGGCATTGCCCGGCGTCGCCGTCGTCGACGCCACGGTCCCGGTCTTGTTCATGTTCGTCCGGAGTCCACGGACTCCAGGGCTAGAGCAGCGCGAGGCGGTGCGTGGCGTGGCGCGGCCGGGGCCCTTGCACGTGCCCGCAGTGCCCGTGCTGCCCGTGCACCGTACACCGGCCTGCCAGGAATCCAAGTGCCCCGCCGCCAGGACGCCACGCCGCCACCACCGCGGAGCAGAGCAACAAAGGCGAGCATTGTGTTTCACGTTTTGCGTACAGCGCACAGCGCAGCACAGCGCTCGGTACGCGCGTGCCTTATACGGCGCTCTGCCCCGTGTGTGTGTGTGTGTGTGTGTGTGTGTGTGTGTGTGTGTGTGTGTGTGTGTGTGTGTGTGTGTGTGTGTGTTCGAAGGGCCCGGAGCAGGGCCCAGACAATAGCGGCGCGGCGTTGCACATTGGGCGAGTGTGACTAGCTGCGCGCGGCGCGCTGCGCTCGCATGACGCCGCCACGCCACGGCGCGGCTTGACTTGCACCTGCTTATTTATATTGTAAAGCTCGCCTGGACGCCGCGCCGCCGCAGCCGGCCGCAGCCCGCGGCTGGAAAGCAGATAGCCCCCCTGGACAAACAATAACACCGAGGGCCGAAGAGCCGGCCGGGCCCCGTCACGGCCAGGACGACGACGACGACGCGAGCCACGCGGAGGGGCGGCTGAGGTCCTCGCGGCACAACGGCGTTACTCTGTCTCTCTCGCACCCCTACGGGACGCCCTGCGACTGCTGGAGAAACACCAAGGCGAGGCACTGTTCGGAATCGCCCCGCTGCCGTGGCTGCCGTGCGCGGAAAACGGCCTCACGACGAATCGGGAATGCTGCGCGCCGCGCCGCCGAGCCATACGTAGTCCGCAGTCCGCACTGCAGTGTGCTGGCTCTGCGGGCCGCAGTGCCGCGGGCGTGCCGCGGGCACGGAGCGCGGACGACCCGACCACGGCTCGCCTGGCTGCTCCGATTGCAAATCCGCGCGCAACTCCGAGAAATTGGCGTCGCCGCCGGAAGGCAAAGGGAAAAGGGAAGGCAGCACACAGACAGACACACACACACACACCACCGCGCCGAGCACCGCCGGGGCCTAGTGGGGCTGGCGCGGCGTCACACGACGGCGGCGTGGTCGCGGCGGCGTCGCCCCCAGCTGCGAATAGTGCGTGACGGGCGCGGCGGGCCCGCGGCACTGCAAATAGTAGTGGAAATGGCTTCATTCCAGTTCCAGGCACGCGCTGCGCACGCTGCACACGCACCGCTGGAAGGTGCACTGGAGGCGGCTGGAGCCCGTATTTGCATAGCCGGGAGTCAGGGGGCTCGGCCTGCCCGGCCCGGCGCGGCCTGGCGGCTCGACCGCGGCCCCGCCTAGGACGCGCCGGCACGCGGCACGCGGCCAGGCTCGCGGCCAGGCGAGGCGACCTGCGGCGGCGACACGCAGCACCAGTCAGGGCACCAGTCCTCGCTCGCGGAGCCTCGCGGTCCTCGCACCAGTCCCAGTCCACCAATCAGGGGATTGAGTCGTAATGGCGGGACACGCGCCGGGCCGACAGGCCGGCAGTCCGACTCGCCTGGCACTACGCCGCGAGCCAACAACCAGGCTGATTCCCAGAGCGGTTTCTCTCGCTGTCTCTCTCGCACCTAAGCGGGCCGCCCCGACAGAGCGATAACGACCCTTGGGGTCAGCATAGCAGGTCCAGCGGCGGGAAAAATGAAGGCGCGAAGCTGTGACCCTCGGTGGGTGTCGAACCCGGGACAGTCCAGCGCCACGGAGACGCGCGGCCGTCAGAAGTGACAGGCCGTGATCCGGCATGCAGGCTCAGCCGCATTCCTGTGCCGAGGGCCACAGGGCCACAGGGCCACAGGGCCAGAGGGTGGGGCCCAACTGGCCGGTTGGGCCGAGAGGCCGAGACACGTCCAGGGCACAGGGCCGCACAGGGCCGCACAGGGCCGCACAGGGCCGCACAGGGCCGCACAGGGCCGCACAGGGCCGCACAGGGCCGCATAGGGCTGCCCGGCTGGAGGCTGGACCGACCTGGACCCAGTGACCATATAAAGGGGTCCGGGCCCGGCGAGGCCCTTGGGCCCTGCAGACCGACTGCGAGAGTAGCTGTCTCTCTCGCACATATAAAGGACGCCCCATGAGTGCGAGAGAGACAGGGCGACAAAAACGCGCCTCGGAATCGCTCTTATCGCAGCACTCATCAAGGAGCCCGCCTAAGCCTTTCGCGATAACGCCCTCGCCCCCCACTTTCTTGACACAACAACCCCTTCGCCATAAATCGCGACTATTTGACACCACTGTATCAACGGTTTCTTTTTTTTCCTCCTCAGAAAAAGAAGGAAAGAAAGAAAAAGAAAGCTGGGGTCTCGTCCGCCGCTCCCACCCCCACCCCCGCGCGGCCCGGCCCGTCAGGTAGGGAATAGAAGATGACGAATCGCACCGCTCTCCCGAAACAAGGCAAGCCAGGCAAGCGGGGCAGGCATTATTGGCGGGAACACCTGCATTGCATTCTACCTGACTGACAAGCCCGCTTAGCCCGCTCCCTCCCTCCCGGCTGGACTCCCAGTGGACTCCCTGGACGGCGCTGTTGGTCAAGCAGCCCGCCAACCACCCTCGGAAAGATTTTTACGTTTCTTACAATATTTGACTGTACGATGTACGAAACTTTTTCTCTTTTTTTTTTTTTTTTTGGAGACGGCGACAGCAACCACCGCAGAGGACAGATGAATCACGGACGCGGTGGTGACACAACCGCACTCTCTCGCTCGGCCCCTCGTTCGTTCGGCGTCCCGTATGGGCTTGCGGTGAAGACAGAGAGAGAAAGGTTCCAAGGAAACTCTGGGCGTGGTGAACCACACACATACACTCACACACCTCGCTCCACTCACCGCCACCAACACCCTTCTCTGAATCTCGGCCTCGGCCAGGCCTCCAACAGGCCTCGGCCCCTCCGGTCCACCGGAAGTCAGTATTTGCACAACAAACGACTTCTTCCCCGCTGGCCGGCTTATTTTTCTTATTTTTCATATTTACTTTCCGATGGTGACACACACACACACACATACCTCCTTAAAGCCCCGTCCCGTCCCCCTCTCACTCACACACACACAAAGGACGCACACTTGTGCGATTGTGCGACTCTGTATTCCAGGAATGGCCGCCAATATCCGAGAGATACGCCCTGCACGCACGATAAATCCCCCATGTATATGTATATGCGCGTGCGAGTGTGTGTGTGTGTGTGTGTGTGTGTGCGTGCGGGCCCACACATCCACACAAGGAGGGCTGCGCGTAAAACTCCAAGTTTTACGACTATTAATCTCCCGGGTGACGGCGTCATGACCGCGTCAACCCGTCGCGGCGTCGCGGCGTCGGCAGCGCCACCGCAAATGCGTTCCTCCGCACCTCCGAGGAGGCCGTGGTGACGGAGGCCGTGCTGGAGGCCGAGGCCCCCGACCACACGACGAGATAAGACGACCGCGGGGCGCAGGAGGCTCCGAAAAACACCTCGGCCACGACATTCATGACGACGCGGAGGACTGGACCTGTCGACGTGCACACACACACACACACACACACACACACACACGGACGCTGTGGGCCTATCTGTGGTGCAGCACCGGGGGAAGCAACAATGAATCACATCCGTTTGTCGCGTCTGGTTGGCTGGTTGGTCTGGTCGGCGGGCGGCCTCCCTATCCCGGCCTCTACAAGTGGTCTGTCGGTCTGGCGGGCGCACCGCGGCCACGCACGGCCTCGGCCAAGGCTGGCCAAGGCTGGCCAAGGCCCGCGCGGCCGCGACGACCAAGGGACGGACGGCGGGGTGCTCGCTGCTCGCGTCGCCCCAGCGCCCCAGCTGCAGCCGCCGCCGCTTGGGCAACGAGGCCGTGGGGGCCGTGGGGGCCGTGGCGACATCCACGGCAGGCGGCCGCGGTGTCGGACGAGCCCTCAATGTGGTGCCGGGGCGCCGCGCGCCAGCAACGCCTGCACTGCCTGCTGGCCCACTGCAAGCTGGT